AGGCCACCGTGTCGCTGACAGCATTCGTGGTGGTGGCCCTCCATGGTGCCCGCACTCTGCTGCCCCCGGACAGCCCTGAGCTGCCCCTCCTGGTGCGTCCCATATCCCCATCCGGTGTCTTGGTCCCCATACCATGTGTCCCTTGTGCCCCCATGTCCCACATCCTCACGTCCTTCATATGTCCCCGGTCCCCTCTATGTCCCCCCAGTGTTCCTCCATCTCTCGTTCATCCCTACCCCCCATGTTCCCATATGTCCCATGTCCCCCAGTGTCCCTCAATCCCTCCATATCCCTTACTGTCCCCCATCCCTCCATGTCCCCCCGTCTCCCAGTGTCCCCTCATCCCTCTGTGTCCCATGTCCCTATATATCCCCATGTCTCCCTAGTGTCCCCCATGTCCATGTCCCCCAGTATCCCCCACGCCTCCCTGTCTCCCACGTCTCTTCACTTCTCCACACTCCATGTCCCACTGCCACAGGACAAATCCCTGTCCCGAGCCTCCACGTTCCTACGGGGCCGCGTGGAGCAGTTGGGGACGTATGGGACGGCCATCACAGCCTATGCACTGGCATTGGTGGACACCACTCCTCCGGGGCCGCATCCGGCAGTGGAACGCCTGCGGGGCATGGCCCGGAGCGCCCACGGTGCGTCCCCATGGGGCAGTGGCATTGGATGCCTTTGTCACCATGGGTGGCTCCTGGACCCCTCTGGCCCCTTCTTCAGATTCACTCTCATTCAAATCCTTCAATTTTGTTCTTCCTCAAACTCTTCTTCATATACTTCAAATTCATTCCTATTCAGATTACTCTCCTTCACGTTCGTTCTTCAGATTCTTCTTTGATTTCCTTCTCCTGATTAATTCCTCCTAAAATTAATTCTTGTTCAAGTTCCACAGATTCGTTCCACTTCGGATGGGTTCTTCTCCACAACTGTTCTTCAGATTGACTTTCCTTTGATTTCGTTCTTGTAATTAATTCTTCAGAGTGATTCTTCAAATTCTTCTTCAGATCCATTCTCCACACCCACTCTGGGTCCCCATGACCCCATAGGACCCCCCATGACCCCATATGAGCCCCCCGTGACCCCATATGAGTCCCCCGTGACTCCGTCCCCATGCAGGTGGCCGTGCGACCTTCTGGCCATCTGGTGGCCCCGCAGCCACAGTGGAGGCGACGGCTTACGCCCTTCTGGCACTGCTGCAGAGCCGTGACATCGCCGGGGCTGGGAGGGCGGCACGGTGGCTCCGGCAGCAGAGCAATTATGGAGGTGGCTTCCACTCCACTCAGGTGAGGGGGGGGGTTCACGGAGCCCCCTGTGTGCCTCGGTGTGAAGGGGACTCGATCCCCGGGGTCCCCTTTGGTGACTGTGTCCCCAACCTGCTCGGTGTTCCTGCAGGACACGGTGGTGGCCCTGGAGGCGCTGGCCCAGATGTGGCTGCAGTGGGGCCGTGGGAGCACAGCGGGGCTGAACCTGGGGCTCTCCTGGCCGGGGGGCGCCCGGGGGAGGGCTGGTGGCACTCAGGTGACGCTGAAGCCGGGGCTGGAGCCGCTGGAGCAGGAGCTGCAGGTGGGGATGTGGTGGGACGTGGCAGGACATGGGGGATGTGAGGACATAGGGGACGTATCTGGACCTGGTAGGATGTGACATGGAGACATGGTAGGATGGGACATGGTAGGACATGGGGAACGTGGGATGTGGGGGATGTGGTAGGACGTGATCAACACGAGGTTTTGGGGTCCCTGTGTCCTCGCTTTGTCCCCATGTCCCCCAGGTGCCTCTGGGCAGCCCGGTGACAGTGCAGGTGGAGGGACACGGCGAAGGGACGCTGACGGTGGGTGGCTGCATGGACATCGGTGTCACCTCCAAGAGCCGATGTCCCCTCACAACCTCCCCTCACGGTGTCCCCTCATGCTGTCACGGTGTCCTGCTGTCCCATCACGATGTCACGCTGTCCCCCTGCTGTCCCCAGGTGCTCCGCCAGTTCCGCCTGCTGTCACCTCCCAACGCCACGTGCCAGGCGCTGCACCTGGAGGTGGCCATCACCGGCCCCATCCTGTACCACGGTGAGGCCCCGCCCCAAAGACCCCGCCCTTTCCTCGCAGGGGGCGTGGCCTCGGCCCTGTTTTGCATACCCCAACCCCCAGCAGATGAGGACTATGAGGACTATGAGGACTATGAGGAGGCGGAGCCTAAAGAGGGGGAGGAGCCTACAGAAGGGGCAGTGCCCATGGAAGGGGCAGGGCCTGTGGAAGGGGCGGGGCAAGCAGATGGCCCCGCCCCACTCAGCCCCATGTCCTTATGGGATGCCCGGAAGCGGCGACGCCGCAGCACGCAGAGCCCTGCCCACGAGGTGGCCTTTCTGGTCTGCTTCCGGTGAGGGACGGAGCTTCCTGTTCCAGTGGGCGGGGCTTCCTGCTGATAGGCGGTGCTTATTGCTGATGGGCGTGGCCTGTTGTAGGCGGAGCCCAGGGGTGGCACTAACGGGGATGGCGGTGGTGGAGATCTCTCTGCTCAGTGGCTTCTCACCCCATAGGGCAGACCTGGACAAGGTAGGGGCCCGAGGGACTTGGGGGATGTAGGGGAGCTGAGGGGAGTTATGGGATGTGGGGTTTCGGGTTTGGGGGTGTTGGAGTCGTTGGGGTGTTGGAGTCGTTGGGGTGGCAGAATGTTGGAGTCGTGGCTTATGGGGCTGTTGGGGTTTGAGGTGTTGTGGTTGGGTGTGCTGGAACATCGAGTTGGGGTTGCTGGGGTCGGAGAGTTGGGTCTGAGGATGTTGGGGTGCAGGGCTGTTGAGGTGGAGCTGCTGGGTTGGAGTGTTGGGGTGTTGGATGTGGGTGTTGGGGAAGGACGTATCCAGGTGCTGCTGTCCCACAACAGCTGCGGGACGTGGTGGATCGCTGGATCAGTCACTATGAGCTGGATGGGAACCAGTTGGTGCTGTACCTGGATGAGGTGTGTCCCCCTGTGTCACCCATAACCTCAATGGCCCTGTGATCCCGTATCCCCTATGTCCCTGTCCCCACACCATACCCCGTTCTCCCCACACATCCCCTGTTCCCCCACGTGTTCTCGTTCCTGTCCCCAGGTCCCCCCCGAGCGGCAGTGTCTCAGTTTTGGGGCCACCCAGGAGGTGGCCGTGGGCCACATGCAGCCGGCAATGGCAGCCATCTATGACTACTACGAGCCCGGTGGGCACTCAGTGGGCGGGGCCTAAACGGGTGGGGTCTTGGTGGGTGTGGCCATCGGAGGAGGCGTGGCCCATCTGACTCCTCTGTGCCCCATCCAGGGCAGCGCTGCACCGTCTTCTACAACGCCCCACAAAGGAGCAGCACCATCGCCACACTGTGCTCCCCCAAAATCTGTGAATGCGCCCAAGGTGGGACCCCACTGTGACCCCATTTGTGGGACCCCCATCCAGTGAACCCCTCCACCCAACTTTTGAGGATCTTGGGGTGAAATTATGGGGTTTATGGGGGAACGTGGGGAAGAGACATGCGGGACGTGGAGAGAACTCTCACCAAGAACCTTGTGTTTTGGGGCCCTGATGATGTTGGGGCACCCTACTGATGTTGGGGGTTCCCAGGGGGGTGTCCCCATGCCCAAAGGAGGACACAAGAGGTGACAGCTGATGACCGCCACGACTTTGCCTGTTACAGCCCCCGTGTGGACTATGGTGAGACCCCAAATCACTGCACTTCAGACCTGCTGCATCCCAAACCTTAACTGCCCTAAATTCCATCTGCCTGGCCCTGAGCCCCACAGCTGCACGCTGTACCCCACAAGTGACCCCTGAACCCCAAAAGCATTCACTAGGATCCTGTAGTTTTCTCGCCAATTATCCCTCTGACCCCCAAACCCCATAGCTGCCCTATGATGTCCAGAACTCCCATCTTTATGACCTCCATGACCCCTTTGACCCCTTGCCCTCTCTGATCCCCAGCACTGGTGGTTCGGGTGCTTTCCCAGAGCGAGATTGGGGCTTTTATGGCGTTTGAGACAGAAATCAAAGAGGTGCTGCTTGGAGGTGAGACTGAGGGCACTGGGAAGGACTGGAAGGTGAGAATGGGAGTGCTGGGAGAAGCAGGGAGTACTGGGAGGGACTGGTAAGGGTTGGAAATTGAGACTGGGTGAACTGGGAATTCTGGTAGAGACTGAATGAGTATAATGGGAACACTGGAAGAGGTTTTGGGTGAGAAGGGGATGCTGGAATATATTTTGCCATACTAGGGTAGCATTGGGCAGTGCTGGGGGGGGGGTCTCAGCCATACTGGAACAATACAAGAGTGTTTTGAGTGGTACTGGGAAAGTTTGGTGAGTTCATAGTGTGTGTACTGGTGCAGGTCAGGACACAACAGCAGCTCCTGGGGAGCGGAGGCGGCTGCTGGTGCGGAAAAGCTGCCCACTGCGCCTGCAGCCCCACAACATCTACCTGGTGATGGGGGGCAGCGGGGGGACACAGGACCCTGAGGGGCGGTGAGAAGGGGCTGTGCCCCATGTCCCCATGTGCCTGTGTTCTCATGTTCCCATGTCCCGTATCCCAGTGTTTCTAACCCCGTGTCCCTGATCCTGACCCCATACCCCAATACCCCTGACCCTATCCCCATCTCCAGCCCCCAGTTCCTGCTGGGCCCCCACTCGTGGGTGGAGGAGGTGCCGTCCCCCGGACGCTGTAGGGCCACACGGCTGCGGGGTCACTGCGCCCAACTGCAGGAGTTCTGCACCCGCCTGAGCCAACTGGGCTGCCAGCTGTGAGCCACTGCGAGCCACCAGGAGCATGCTGAGTGCAGCTGGAACCGTTTTTGGGTTGAACTGGCACCAATGTTGGATCAGTTGGGATGGATTGGAAATAAAGTAGTGTTGATTGGGACCGTGTTGAGAACAACCGGAAGTGTGCTGGGTTTGAGTGGGAGCAATTGGAACTGTGTTGGAACAAACAGGGATCACATTGGGTCAAAAAAGATCAGAATGGGTCCAACTGGGGTCATACTGGATTGAAGTGGGATCAGAACGGGTTTAATAGACGCACAGTCCTCCGAGCCACCACAGAGTTGGCCCTCCGGCGGCGCAGAGCGGCGCTGCACGCCGTCCGTGAGGCAGCCGGAAGTGACGTCACTCCGCGGCGCGCGATTCGAACTCCGGCGGCGCCCATCGGAGCGCCCCAATGCCGCGGCCCAAACCGCGCAGCCCCCGGCGCCGGGGCCGCCCCCCTCCCGCCGCCGCGCCGCCGCCTCCTCCCGCGCGGCCCCGCGGTGAGTGCAGCCGGAAGGGGTGCTGGGGGGTGTGGGGCTGAGCCTTTATCGCCGTTGTTTTCCCGTCTCTTCGCTCCGTTTCAGTCCGCCGGTACCGGCCCGGTCAGAGGGCGCTGCGGGAGATCCGCCGCTATCAGAGCAGCACCGCTCTGCTGCTGCGCCGCCAGCCCTTCGCGCGTGTGGTAACGGGACCCCATCCCCCCCACTCAACGTGGGACCCCCCCCCCCCAAAATGAGATCTCAACATGAGATTTGGGGGCCCCAATATGAATCACTCCCCCCCCCCCCCCCGATGGAACACCGCGAGAATGGGGCCGTACATAGAAGGGGGGACCCCCACCCCTCAAAATGGAGCATCCCCAACCGGGCCTTTCAAAAAATACCCCCCACATACCCAAAACGGCACCCTTCATACCCAAAATGAGAGCCCCCCCTCCCCCCAATGGGACTTACCCTAAAGTGGGATCTTCCCCCAAAATCAACACCCCCTCAAAATTCGACCCTTCAGACCCCCCCCAACCTCTCTGCACCTCCAACCCCCCCTCCATGGACATCCCCCGTGTCCTTGTGCCCCACCTCCCCCCGTGTCCTTCTTACCTCCTCTGTCCCGCCCGTCAGGGACACAGCATCCTTCACTCAGTGTCCCCCCCATGTCCTTGAGCCCCCCCGTCACCTCCCATGATTCAATGCCACGCTTGTGTTCGCCCCCCTCAGTGTCCCCATGCCACCCCCCCCCCTCCCTGCCCCCTCCCTGTGTCCCCTCAGTGTCCCCATGCCCCCCTGTCGTCCCCCCAGGTGCGGGAGATCTGCCTGCTCTTCACGCGGGGCGTGGACTACAAGTGGCAAGCTATGGCCCTATTGGCCCTACAGGAGGTGGGGGGCCTTATGGGTTTATTTTGAGGGGGCATTGTTTTGAAGGGTCTCATGGTTTGGGGTTGGGGGTGTCTGAGGGATACTTTGGGTGGAGCTGGGGGGCTTTGTAGTGCCCAAAAGGTGTTTTTGGGGTGAAGGGAAAGTGGATTTGGGGGTACCCCTTGTGCCTGGGGGTCTCTTTGGGCTTGAGGAGGGGTCTTTGGCTGCGAGCTGTTTTGGGATTGGGGATTGTTTTGGGGGGGGAGATTGGAGGTTTTTGAGCTGTGGAGTTATTTGAGGTCGTGGTTTTAGGGAGGGAGGTTGGGGGTAGGGGTTGTTTTTGGGGTGTTCCGGGGGTTGTTTTGGAGGACTGGCATTTGTGGGGTGGCCTGGAGGTGGGAATTGACCCCTCCCTGCTTTGTGGGGTCCCACAGGCGGCGGAGGCGTTCCTGGTGCATCTGCTGGAGGATGCCTACCTGTGCTCGCTGCACGCGCGCCGCGTCACGCTGTACCCCAAGGACCTGCAGCTGGCACGGCGCCTGCGGGGGCTGCAGGGGGAGGGGTTCTGAGCTGCCCCCCCCCACCCCCAATAAACACCCCCTCCCCTACTCACACACACAGGCGCACAGAGCGGTGATGGGGTTCTGCTGCTGGGTTGGGGGGGATGGTGGTAATGGGGGGGGATTTGGGGAGGTGGTGAGCAGAGGGATGGGGGGCGCTTGGGAGGATGGATGGGTAGAGGGTGGGGGGGTGGGTTTGGGGGATCTTTGCTGGTTGGTGGGCACACAATGGGAGTGTGAGCGATTATTTTTTTGGAAGGGGGCACCCCGTGGTGCTGGGAGCACTTTGTGGGGGGAGAAACTCCTGTATTTTTATCAGGATACCCCCATAAATTTTATCATGATTTGGAGTGGGCACACGATAATTTCAGGGGAGTGAACCCAATTCTTCTCTTCTGGTAGGAGGGGTTTGGGGGGGGGGGTGGGGGGGGTGGAGCTTTTGGGGTCCCTCCCCCTTATAAGGTGTTATAGGGGCAGAACCGGGGCCCCCCATCCCACAGAACAATGGCAGTGGTGATGCTTCTGCTGCTGTTCCTCCTGGCCCTGATCTGGGGGGGGTCAGCCAGGTGGGGGGGGGCACCATGGGGGGGGGCCCTGCACCTCCTGCACCCAGGAGGGCCACAGCACCTCCACATCCTCACCCGGACCTACGGGGACCCCTTGTGTCTGCGCTTGGGGGGGCGTGGTGAGTAGGGGGGGCACTTTCATGACCCCCCTCATCCCCTTGACTCCCCTTTGGAACCCCCATGGCCTCCTCTTCCCCATAAATCCCCCTCCTTTGGACCTTGAACCTTCCCCCTTTAAGATCCCCAACCTCACAATCTCCCTGGAATTACCCATTGAGAGGGTGGAGGGACCCCCAAACACTGCCCCCCAATTCCTTCCTGCCCCCCTTCACATTTGTCCCCTCCTTCTACCCCCCACAAAATAATTTGGGATCCCTAACCCCTCCCACCGCCCCATACTTTATCCTGGTACCTCTCACTTCTCCCCCCGCCCCTGGTTTCAAGGTCCCCGTGGGGGTCCCTTCCCTCCAACCCACTCATTTCTTGCCCCCCCCCAGAGGTGGTGGTGCTGAGCTCTGCAGCTGCCATCCGTGAGGCGCTGGCACGGCGCTGGGGAGACTTCGTGGGACGCCCCCACAGTTACCTGGGTATGGGGGAGCTGCAGGGGTTGGGGGCTCCCATGAGGGTTTGGGGTGAGTCCGAGGGGGGGCCCTGTGAATCTTCAAGGGTGGTTCTTTGGGTTTTGTAGTTCTGGGGAGGGTCCCAAGAGGGGTCCATGAAGATCTCTATGGGTATCTGAGGGGGTTTGGGGGTTCTGGGGGGGGTCTCATAGGTTCTGGAGATTACGAATTGGTGTCTGTGGGGGTTCTGAGGGATCCTCCTGGGTTTTGGGTGGAGGGGAGTCCCTGCAGCTCTCTGTTGAGTATCTGGAGGGGGAACTGGGGGTCCCCATGATTTCTGAAGGGGTCTGGTTGCGTTTTTTGGGGGGAAGAACGTTTCTGACAGTCCCCACGGGTGCTGGACAGGTCTCGGGGTGCCTGGGGGACTCTGGATGGGTCCCCAAGGATCCCTGCGGTTGTGTGAGGTGTTCTGAGAGGTCCCATGGGTGCCGGGGTGATATGGGTGTCACCCCGCAGCGTCCTTGGTGTCGCGGGGGGGGCAGGACCTGGCGCTGGGGGACGCATCCCCAGAGTGGCGGCGGCAGCGGGGGGCAACGCGGGGAGCGCTGGCGCGGGCTGTGAGACACCTGGAGCCTCTCCTGGAGCTGCAGGGCTGGGCGCTGTGCCAGGTGAGCACCCCAACACGGGGCCGTACAACCCCAGGTGGATCCCATCTGATCCAGGGCTGAGCTGCCCATCCCCTTGACTCACCTCGACCCCCCTGTGGGGCACCCGCACCCCCTCAGCGACCCCATTTCCCTCCCCACAGGAGCTGAGCTCTTACGGGGCTGCCCCAGTGGACCTCTTTGAGGCATTTGCGTTCCACACCTGCAGCACCATCTGCCGCCTCGCCTTTGGGGACCTGGTGGGGACACCGGGGGGGATGCAGGGTCTAGGTGTCACCTCGGGGAGCGGGGGGACTCAGGTGCCACTACTGGGGGTCTCAGATGTCAGGTGCCACTGGAGGGGACCAAGGGATCTTGGGGTGACCCAGGTGTCCAAGGAGGGTGGATCCGAAATGCTCGGGGGCCACTTGGGGTCTCAGATATCCAGGCATCCCTTTGGGGACCCAGCCACCTCTAGAGGGACCCAAATAACCACATACCTCTTTAGGTTCAGAAGACTCTGGGGGGATCCAGAAGTCACTCTGGGTGACCCCAGGCCCTGTACTCCACAGATGCCCCCCGAGGCAGAGGTGCGCTCCTTTACACGCTGTGTGGTGGAACTGCTGGAGGTGTGGGGCTGGGCCAGTGTGCGGGCACTGGATGTGCTGCCTCCACTAAGGGTGAGCCCTACGGGGCCCTATAGGGCTTATGGGATCAGCATGGGGCTGGGAAGGAGGGATAGGTCCATGTGGGGTCTATAGTGAGAATGGGCTATATTGTCCTTGGGGGGTTACAGATGGGGCTGGGAGGTCTGTAGGGGCTGAGGGGGGTTAAAGGGGTTATACAGAGCCCTGGGAGGGTATTGTGGGGTTTCTGCTGGGCTGGGGGGATTCTCAACGGCTGGGATGGGGTATGGGGTATGGGCCCAGAGAAGCTCTGAGGGGGGTCCCTGTGCCCCACAGGTGCTGCCCAACCCGGGGCTGCGGGAGCTGCTGCGCCTGGTGGAGCGCCGCGACGCCTTCGTGGAGACCCAGATCCGATGTCACCAGGTGGGGATGTGGGGACATGGGGACAGAGGGGGGACACGGCTGCAGGGGGTAACGCATGTGTCCCTACAGGGCTGCACATCCCCCCCTAGGGACACAGTGCTGGGGGCACTGCTGGGGGGGGACCCCACTGTCCCCATGGGGCCGCTGGGGGGGGACCGCCTGCACATGGCCCTCGTGGACCTCTTCATCGGTGGCACCGAAACAACAGCGGCAGCTCTGCTGTGGGCTGTGGCCTTCCTGCTGCACCACCCCCAGGTGACACCACATCACATCTGTGCCACAGCCACATCTGCTTCCCCATAGTTCCCATGCCCGTCTCCCATCCCCACGTACCCCCAGGGTGTCCCCACGTGTGTGCTGGGTGTCCCCTCCCGTACCCTACTGCGCTTCCCTATTGCACCACATGCATGTCACATCCATGTCCATTTCCTTGTGTGGATAATGGCTCTGGGGTGCTCCCACCTGTGTCCCTGGTGTCCCCTGTATGATGGCCACCACCAAAGTGTCACGCTCGTGTCACCTCTGTGCCACACCGATGTCTGTGTCCCCGCACAGGGGAAGGCCACCCCACGAGCGACCTGAAGTGACACTTGGTGACACGCTCTGACACACATCCCCTGTCCCAGGTGCAGGACCGAGTGCGTGCAGAGCTGCACCAGGTGCTGGGCCCCACGGGGACCCCGAAGCCAGGGGACATGGGACGACTGCCGCTGCTCCGCGCTACCGTCACCGAGACCCTGCGCCTGCGGCCCCCTGCGCCTCTCGCGCTGCCACACTGCGCCCGGCGCCACTCCAGGTATGGCCAGTAATGCACCAGTATGGACCAGTATGGGGCCATACATCTGCCTGCAGAACCATGCACCACTGTCAGTGTTTTGCACTAGAATGAACGTAGGCCAATTTGTAATAGTGTGGACTGCTGCAGCCCGTGGCCCTACCAGTAGGTCAGCCCAGTAGAGCTCATCAGCCCCCATTAAGCCCCAGTACGTCCCAGTTGGCCACTGTAGGGTCTCCCAGTCCATCCCAGCAGCAGCCTGTCCCTTCCCAGCATTGCCGGAATTCCAGTGCCCGCGGGATCCATCGTTATCCCAAACCTCTTTGCTGCGCACCACGACCCCAAGATCTGGGACCGTCCTGCTGAGTTCCTGCCCGGTATGTGTGGGTCCACCCCACAGATGTGGGCCCTGAACCCCAGGGTGGGTTCCTCCCTCTACACCCACTCTCTGACCTCTGTTCTGCCCCACAGAGCGGTTCCTGCAACCAGGGGCCCCCTGGCGAGCGCTGCTGCCCTTTGGTTGTGGGGCACGCTCATGTGTGGGGGAGGCGCTGGCTCGGGCAGAGCTCTTTGTGTTTTTGGGGTACATCCTACAGCGATTCCGCCTGGAGCCGCCTTCTGATGGGGCTCTGCCCAACTTGGGGGTCACCGCCGGCACCGTGCTGCGCTGCGCCCCATTCCGTGTGCGCCTCGTGCCCTGCCCGCCCCATAGCTCCTGAGCCCAGTGTGTGGGATGCGTGGGTCAGTGCTGGTTACTCGCAGCTTTATTGACCCCATAAAGGCTTCACTGTGCCCCACAACCTTTCTAGTGCTCTCAGTCACGCTGCGGCCGCAGCTTCATCTCTGTGAAGGGGATGGAGTACTCGAAGCCCTTCCAGGGGTACCAGTTGATGCCCTGCAGAGAGGGAGGGGGGATTTGGTCACACCCTATAGGCAACTTACTGCAGTTCTACAGACACATATAGGCCCTACAGGGGGCCCCAAAGTACTCCCTTCCCTGCTCCTGCAGCTTCTACAAGGCTAAAGGAACATTGGGGGGTAGCCCTCCATATTTACCCCACATAACCCCCATGGCCCCACAGTGACTCCCTCCCTCCTGTCTCATTGGGTTGCTTTTATGCCCCCACAGACCCGTTTATGATCCCCACAGACCCCTTCATAGCCCCCATAGCCATACCTGGTGGTCGTAGGGCACCCCATAGCGCCCGTTGAGGTTGGCATAATGGCAGTTGCGGTACCACCAGGCTCCGGTGTAGGCAACGGCGCAGGGCCGGGGGCGGCCCCGGGGGTCGTGGTCCCGTGTGGAGAAGGGGCTCCCAGCATGGTAGGACAGTGCATCCCCTGTAGGACCCACAGCAAAGTTATGGGGACTCCTAAAGAGAGCTCTCCAGGACACCCACATAGGGTTCAGAGCCCCAAGGATGAACCACAGACCCCCAGGAGTCCCCACATCCTCATAGACACCACCCTGTGGGGCAGAGCCTCCTCTTCCCCCCTCTCCCCCCGAACCCTTGTGGGCTCCCTGTGGTCTCAAGATCCCACTGGGTCAATGATCCCAAAGACCCCTGCAAAGCCCCCTTATTGTGGGCAAAGGGACTGTCCCCTATTCTCCCCAGGATTCCCCCCCACCCCGTGATCTGGGTGCCCCCAAGAGCCCTCCCATGAGTCAAGGTTAACCTTATACCCTCCAGGAACCCTCCAGGATCCCCCCCAGCCCCACACACACCAGCTGTGCCACTGTAAGCCCCGAGATGGAGGCGAAAACTGTCCTCAGGACCACCGACGGCGAAATCCCGATAGCGGGCGAAGGCGCTGTCTGACGGCGTCCGGAGGTCCACGCGCAGCTCCGTGGGCCCAGAAGCTGTCAGCACGTGCAGCGCCGCATTTCCTGCCCACATCCCACAGCCATCATCATCCCCGCCCCACAGACCCAACTGGGGCCCTGCCCCGCACCCTACACCCCCCACCCCACACACTCATCTGGGATCCACCCCGCATCCCAGTGGGGTTCAGTCCCACGTCCTGCAGCCATCAGCCATCCCCACCCCGGTGGGGATCTCGCCCCCACCCCAGTCCTCAGTCTCCCCAGGTTTTGAGGTCCTCACCCAGCCAGAACTCCCTGGAGATGTTCCCGAAGCCGTGGACGTACTCCTCCCACCCCCTCCAGAAGTTGATGCCCCCATCCATGCGGCGCTGGAACACCTTTGGGTGTGGGGGTGGGGTCAGAATCTCCCCCAGACCCCACACTGCCCCCAGACCCCCCATTACCTCCCCCTAAACCCCCAACACTGCACCCTGAGACCCTTGTGTTGCCCTCCAGGGCATCCTATTTCCTCTCCCAGACCCACCACAGCCCCAAATTTCTCCCTGGGAGTTGCTCCTGCATTTATAGTTCCAGGGGGTTACTGGGATCCCCATGGATAGTATAGGGGGTATGTGAGTCTCACAGAACACTGGGATCCCCCTGCAGTTTCCAGAATTACCCCAGTTGCCCCACAAGACCCTCCCATTAACCTCCCCTCCAGCCTCCCCCCACTCCCCCTGCATTGCTTCTCAACCCCCCCAGAACCTCCCCAGATGCCCCAAATGCCCCCAATTGCTCCACAGGACTCCTCTATTGCCAACCCAACCCCTATAATGGCAACCACCAGCCACCCACCCAAACCCCATGACACCCATTGCCCATCAGACTCCTCATAGCCCCCCACCCCCCACTTCCTCCCCTTGCCCCCAGCCCCACCAGCCAGCCTCCCCCATCGCTCTCCATGTCGCAGAAGACGCGCAGTGGCCGTCGCTGGTCGCCCCCGAGGAAGATGAGGACTTCTCGTGAAGGCCCTGGTCCATTGAGCTGCTCCTCAGCACAGTCCCGGGGGTGTGGGTGAGGAAGGGGTGCTGGGGGACAAAGTGCAGTGTAGGTGCCCCCATCCACAGGACCCAACCAGTTGGGGGTCCCTGTTCACCTATCAAGGGACGAGGGCATCCTACTGACCCCCCACCTAAGGAACCCCCCTACATAGAGACTCATTATTCAGGCACTTGGGAATCCCAGAGCCCCCCCACACAAAGATGCAGATTTTTGGGTACCCCCCTCTTCAGGACCCAGCATCCGTGTGTTCCCACCACCACAAAGCATCCAGATATTTGGGCACCCCAGAGTCTCCCACTCAAGTGCCCAGACACCTGGGTGCACCTTCCCCCCCCAAGGGACCTCCTTTCCCAGCTCACGGGTGTTGAAGGTGGTCTCGAGGGGCTCCAGCCCCCGGCCCCGGAGCTGCACCATATAGTGTCCAGTGGGCTCCAGGCCCCACAGTTCCTTGGATGTTGCCTCAGGGGGCAGCTGCAGTGTCTGGGGGGAGGACATGGGAGGGTTATTGGGCTGCTATGGGGGTCCCTAAAGGGCATTACAGGGGCGTTTAATGTCTCTAGGGAGCATAAAGGGGCCCAGGAGGAGGATGGGAGTGCTGCAAAGGGAGTTAGTTATTGAGGACCTCAAGAGATAGTGGGATGCAGTAGGGTTCTTAGGATGCTTGGGGGCTTTTGGGTTTCCCACGGTGGGAACAGGGTCCCCAGGGAGGTTATCTGGGTCTCCAAAGGGGCACTGGGATCCCTGCGGGGAGATATGGGTCTCCACAAGGAATACTGGGGTCTCCAAAGGGGTGAGTGGGGATCTCAGGGGGCTGGGGGGGTTCCCAGAGGAGCACTAGGGTCCTCAGAGACGCCGTGCTGATCCCCAGGAGGAGTTCAAGGGTCACAAACAGGGTTGCAGGGCAGCCCTATGGGTTACTAGGATCCCCCCATAGGCATATTGGGGTACCCCAGGAGATACTGAGGTCCCCTGGGAAGTTCAGGGAACTCTATGGGGCGTTACCTTCATAGGGCCTCCGAGGGGTCCGTAGGTGAGGTTGTAGCCATCCGGAGGGACATGGGGGGGCGCCCAATGCAGCTGAGCACTGCGGGGCCACAGCGTGCCCACCCATAGCGTTCCTGGGGCACCTGGGAAGAGATGGAGGGCACTGAGGCCCACAGCCCTCCTTTGGATGTCCCACACTCTCCCTCCCACCAACTCCTTTTGAACCCCCCCCCCAAAGGCCTCTTGAGAGCCCTGCTCACAGCTACAGCACCTGCTGACCACCAAGACACTCCCACCCCACTGCAGTGTCCCAGTGACCCCCACCCACAGGGGGCTTTAGGGTGCCATATAGATCTCCTATAACTTCCTAGGCACCACCCCCACAGGGACACCTCCCACCCGTGACACCATCAACCATCCAGCTCTACCTGAGTTTGAACACTGCTTTCAGCAGTAGGGCTTAATTCCTGTGTGAAGCCATCCCGGTCCTTTTCAACTCTGCTACAGACTGTATACTGAGGCCAACAATGCATTTCCCCGAATGTAGATCCCTCCAACACTCAACAGTGCATCCAACAGTCCTTCCAAACAACCATTTCTCCACAGAAACTCACATCCCTCCATCCAACCAGTTGCTACATGTTCACCAAACAAGTTCTTTTTATATTAAAAAAAATTAATTCATTCCATCTGTCATCCCCAAGCAAACTACAACATGAGCAATCCATCCATCCTTCAAATAAAATCTCTCCAGAGCTCAGGAAAAGTTCCTATTGACAACAGTGTGCAAGTGGAACCTGGCAGGGCCCATCCAACTGCAATTCCAGTGCACAAAGGCACTGCGGCAAGAGCCCAAAGCTCGTTACTCAAGAATCTGCACGTGCAACCAAGCGTCAACTACTCAAAGACACACACACCCATCTGAACAGGCATCACAAAATCCACTCCTCATCGGTCCCGTCGTAATTCAGTGCACTGATTAATGGAGCCATTCCAAAACGGGAACTTAGCAGCTCATCCCATGGACAGAGGAAATCAAGATCCACAGCACAGGCGATGCGTTTCTTTCTATCTCCAGGAAACCCAGAGCCCACCAGGTGCCAATTCCGGCCCTCACCTGTGACGGCATCAGTGGAGATGGGGCCCAGCCGTTTCCGCCCCCACACCCCGTACAGGTTGAACTTGTAGCGGCGGGACGGCGACAGCCCGGGCACGCTCACGGAGTGCGACCCACCGTCCACGGGCACCACCTGCGGCTGGCCTTGCGCGTCCTTGTACTGCACCGTGAAGGAGTCAAAGGAGCCCTCAGGGACGCTCCACTCCAGCTGCACGGAGTCGGGGCTGACGCGCGATGCCGTCACCTCACCCAGGCGTGGTGGAGCAGGTGGTTCCTCTACTGCTGGCACGGCAGCTGCAGCACAAAGTCCATGTCCACCCATCCTATTATCCTCACGTTCAACAGCTGACCAACCATTCTCCAAACATCCACTTGTCCCGATTGACAAGTTACCCCACCCCAACCTTCCATCCAGAATTCCATCCATGCAACCCAATCCTCTCCACTCATCACTACCCCCTACTCCCCCCATCGTGCATTTTCCCTTCCCTCCACAATTTCCCCCGCTTTGCCACAGAACCTTTCCGTTTCCATTCACACGCCAGTCACCAGCACAGCCCATCACACTGCTCACGCCACGTGCCAAGCTCAAGGCCCTCTCACGAGAGGCACAGCATGGGGGGCCCTCACCTGTGATGGCGTCAGTGGAGATGGGGCCCAGACGTGTCTGCCCCCACAGCCCATACAGGTTGAACTTGTAGGGGTGGGACGGCAGCAAACCAGGCACGGTCACCGTGCGGGACCCACTGTCCAAGTGCAGCTCCTGCGGCTGGCCCTGCACGTCTACGTACTGCACTGTGAAGGAGTCAAAGGTGCCTTCGGGAACGCTCCATTCCAGTTGGACGGAGTTGGGGCTGACATGGGATGCTGTCAGCTCTCCGAGGCGCGGCTGGGATGGTGGTTGCTCCTCCACCTCTTCTGCAGCTGCAATACAGAAGACACAGGGCAGGATAACAGCATGGTCCTGCCCATCAGTCATATCCAACCAACCTTTCTCTGTACCCTTTTTCCATCCACTCTGAATCTTCTGAGCACTTGAACCATCTAACCCAATTGCCATTGCTTCACACAGCCACATACTGGACAACCAGCTTACCATCCCACCATTCATGCAAGGATTCTCTCTGTACTTCCATCCACTCATTTCCCTACGCAACCACGAGCGCAGTTCAACAGACCAAGCAATGCTTACTCCTTCATCCATCCAAGAGTTATCTAACTCATCTGTGAACATATCCATCCACTGTACCAGCACACCAAGGATCTACCTATCCCTTCTCCATCCATCCACCTATTCCTAAGTTCTTCCATCCATCCTTTCGCTCCTTCATGTATCTGCCCATCCAATCAAACAAATACTCCAACAGCCACAATCTTAAAGGGCAGCCATCACCCCACCCGTTCCCCATCGCTCCCTTCATACTTCAGCGCAACATTTCATGGATGCGTCCCAAAAAAAGGCACCCTAATCGGGTTCATCCCATTGCCAGAGGAAATCAAGATCCACAGCCCACGCCATGTTTCTCTTTCTACCTCCAGGAAACCCAGAGCCCACCAGGTGCCAATTCCGGCCCTCACCTGTGACGGCATCAGTGGAGATGGGGCCCAGCCGTTTCTTCCCCCACACCCCGTACAGGTTGAACTTGTAGCGGCGGGACGGCGACAGCCCGGGCACGCTCACGGAGCGCGACCCACCGTCCACGGGCACCACCTGCGGCTGGCCTTGCGCGTCCTTGTACTGCACCGTGAAGGAGTCAAAGGAGCCCTCGGGGACGCTCCACTCCAGCTGCACGGAGTTGGGGCTGACGCGCGATGCCGTCACCTCACCCAGGCGTGGTGGGGAAGGTGGTTCCTCTACTGCTGGCACGGCAGCTGCAATGCACAGGAAGTAATATGTTGCAAAAACATCCACCCGATCTACATTCCATCCATTCAACAACCCAACCAACATGCATTCTGCCATACAGCTGTGCTCTGAGCACTAGTTTATTCAAGAACTCTTCCATCCATCCTTCCGTCCATCCATCACAAAACAGTTAACAGCCATTCCCTCCTCCAAGCTTCCTCCAATCTTGCAGGCACTCATCCCTACAGACATTCCAAACCAATAACAAGGAAACGTTTCCTTCTCAAGCACAATGACTGTAAGCAAGAGGAGCCATGAAAGGCACCTGCCATATGCCGGGCCCACTGCCAGCAGGACATGGAATGAGCACACTGCATCCTCACCTGTGATGGCATCAGTGGAGATGGGGCCCAGCCGTTTCCGCCCCCACACGCCGTACAGGTTGAACTTGTAGCGGCGGGACGGCGACAGCCCGGGCACGCTCACGGAGCGCGACCCACCGTCCACGGGCACCACCTGCGGCTGGCCTTGCGCGTCCTTGTACTGCACCGTGAAGGAGTCAAAGGAGCCCTCGGGGACGCTCCACTCCAGCTGCACGGAGTCGGGGCTGACATGCGATGCCGTCACCTCACCCAGGCGTGGTGGGGAAGGTGGTTCCTCCACTGCTGGAGCTACAGCAGCAACACAGTAAAAGCAATCAGCGCTGAAAGCATCCACACAAGCAATCCTCCATGCCCACAACAACCAAACAAACATTCATCCAACAATCCGGTTCCGCTCTCAGCACAAATTTACCCAAGCACCATTCCACAAAAATTATCAATCATTCCCCCTTCCAACAATTCTTCCTCCAAGCTTGCATGCACTCATCCCTACAGACTTTCCATTCTACAAGAAAACACTTCTTTCTCAACCAAGAGGTCTGTAAGCAGGACGGGCCATTAAAGTTTCAGGTCATATGCCAAGCCCAACGTCAGTAGCAGGACAAGGAATGAGCACACTGCATCCTCACCTGTGACGGCGTCAGTGGAGATGGGGCCCAGCCGTTTCCGCCCCCACACCCCGTACAGGTTGAACTTGTAGCGGCGGGACGGCGACAGCCCGGGCACACTCACGGAGCGCGACCCACCGTCCACGGGCACCACCTGCGGCTGGCCTTGCGCGTCCTTGTACTGCACCGTGAAGGAGTCAAAGGAGCCCTCGGGGACGCTCCACTCCAGCTGCACGGAGTCGGGGCTGACGCGCGATGCCGTCACCTCACCCAGGCGTGGTGGAGCAGGTGGTTCCTCTACTGCTGGCACGGCAGCTGCAGCACAAAGTCCATGTCCACCCATCCTATTATCCTCACGTTCAACAGCTGACCAACCATTCTCCAAACATCCACCTGTCCCGATTGACAAGTTATCCCACCCCAACCTTCCATCCATACTTCTATCCATGCAACCCAATCCTCTCCACTCATCACTACCCCCTACTCCTCCCACCCTGCTTGCTCCCATCCCTCCATACTTTCCCCCGCTTTGCCACAGAACCTTTCCGTTCCCATTCACACGCCAGTCACCAGCACAGCCCATCACACTGCTCACGCCACGCGCCAAGCTCAAGGCCCTCTCAAGAGAGGCGCAGCATGCGGGGGCCCTCACCTGTGATGGCGTCAGTGGAGATGGGGCCCAGACGTGTCTGCCCCCACAGCCCATACAGGTTGAACTTGTAGGGGTGGGACGGCAGCAAACCAGGCACGGTCACCGTGCGGGACCCACTGTCCAAGTGCAGCTCCTGCGGCTGGCCCTGCACGTCTACGTACTGCACTGTGAAGGAGTCAAAGGTGCCTTCGGGGACGCTCCATTCCAGTTGGACGGAGTTGGGGCTGACATGGGATGCTGTCAGCACTCCGAGGCGCGGCTGGGATGGTGGTTGCTCCTCCACCTCTTCTGCAGCTGCAATACAGAAGACACAGCGCAGGATAACAGCATGGTCCTGCCCATCAGTCATATCCAGCCACCCTCTCTCTGTACCCTTTTTCCATCCACTCTGAATCTTCTGAGCACTTGAACCATCTAACCCAACTGCCATTGCTTCACACCACCACCATTCAACCAGCTTACCGTCCCACCATTCATGCAAGGATTCTCTCTGTACCTCCATCCACTCATTTCCCTACACAACCACGAGCGCAGTTTGACAGACCAAGCAATGCTTACTCCTTCTTCCATCCAAGAGTTATCTAACTCATCTGTGAACATATCCATCCACTGTACCAGCACACCAAGGATCTACCTATCCCTTCTCCATCCATCCACCTATTCCTAAGTTCTTCCATCCATCCTTTCGCTCCTTCATGTATCTGCCCATCCAATCAAACAAATGCTCCAACAGCCACAATCTTATAGGGCAGCCATCACCCCACCCGTTCCCCATCGCTCCCTTCATACTTCAGCGCAACATTTCATGGATGCGTCCCAAAAAAAGGCACCCTAATCGGGTTCATCCCATTGCCAGAGGAAATCAAGATCCACAGCCCACGCCATGTTTCTCTTTCTACCTCCAGGAAACCCAGAGCCCACCAGGTGCCAATTCTGGCCCTCACCTGTGACGGCATCAGTGGAGATGGGGCCCAGCCGTTTCTTCCCCCACACCCCGTACAGGTTGAACTTGTAGCGGCGGGACGGCGACAGCCCGGGCACGCTCACGGAGCGCGACCCACCGTCCACGGGCACCACCTGCGGCTGGCCTTGCGCGTCCTTGTATTGCACCGTGAAGGAGTCAAAGGAGCCCTCGGGGACGCTCCACTCCAGCTGCACGGAGTCGGGGCTGACGTGCGATGCCGTCACCTCACCCAGGCGTGGTGGAGAAGGTGGTTCCTCTACTGCTGGCGCGGCAGCTGCAATGCACAGGAAGTAATATGTTGCAAAAACATCCAACCGATCTACATTCCATCCATTCAACAACCCAACCAACATGCATTCTGCCATACAGCTGTGCTCTGAGCACTAGTTTATTCAAGAACTCTTCCATCCATCCTTCCGTCCATCCATCACAAAACAGTTAACAGCCATTCCCTCCTCCAAGCTTCCTCCAATCTTGCAGGCACTCATCCCTACAGACATTCCAAACCAATAACAAGGAAACGTTTCCTTCTCAAGCACGATGACTGTAAGCAAGAGGAGCCATGAAAGGCACCTGCCATATGCCGGGCCCACTGCCAGCAGGACATGGAATGAGCACACTGCATCCTCACCTGTGACAGCATCAGTGGAGATGGGGCCCAGCCGTTTCCGCCCCCACACGCCGTACAGGTTGAACTTGTAGCGGCGGGACGGCGACAGCCCGGGCACGCTCACGGAGCGCGACCCACCGTCCACGGGCACCACCTGCGGCTGGCCTTGCGCATCCTTGTACTGCACCGTGAAGGAGTCAAAGGAGCCCTCGGGGACGCTCCACTCCAGCTGCACGGAGTCAGGGCTGACATGCGATGCCGTCACCTCACCCAGGCGTGGTGGGGAAGGTGGTTCCTCCACTGCTGGAGCTACAGCAGCAACACAGTAAAAGCAATCAGCGCTGAAAGCATCCACACAAGCAATCCTCCATGCCCACAACAACCAAACAAACATTCATCCAACAATCCGGTTCCGCTCTCAGCACAAATTTACCCAAGCACCATTCCACAAAAATTATCAATCATTCCCCCTTCCAACAATTCTTCCTCCAAGCTTGCATGCACTCATCCCTACAGACTTTCCATTCTACAAGAAAACACTTCTTTCTCAACCAAGAGGTCTGTAAGCAGGACGGGCCATTAAAGGTTCAGGTCATATGCCAAGCCCAACGTCAGTAGCAGGACAAGGAACGAGCACACTGCATCCTCACCTGTGACGGCGTCAGTGGAGATGGGGCCCAGCCGTTTCCGCCCCCACACCCCGTACAGGTTGAACTTGTAGCGGCGGGACGGCGACAGCCCGGGCACACTCACGGAGCGCGACCCACCGTCCACGGGCACCACCTGCGGCTGGCCTTGCGCGTCCTTGTACTGCACCGTGAAGGAGTCAAAGGAGCCCTCGGGGACGCTCCACTCCAGCTGCACGGAGTCGGGGCTGACGCGCGATGCCGTCACCTCACCCAGGCGTGGTGGAGCAGGTGGTTCCTCCACTGCTGGCACGGCAGCTGCAGCACAAAGTCCATGTCCACCCATCCTATTATCCTCACGTTCAACAGCTGACCAACCATTCTCCAAACATCCACCTGTCCCGATTGACAAGTTATCCCACCCCAACCTTCCATCCATACTTCTATCCATGCAACCCAATCCTCTCCACTCATCACTACCCCCTACTCCTCCCACCCTGCTTGCTCCCATCCCTCCATACTTTCCCCCGCTTTGCCACAGAACCTTTCCGTTTCCATTCACACGCCAGTCACCAGCACAGCCCATCACACTGCTCACGCCACGCGCCAAGCTCAAGGCCCTCTCAAGAGAGGCGCAGCATGCGGGGACCCTCACCTGTGATGGCGTCAGTGGAGATGGGGCCCAGACGTGTCTGCCCCCACAGCCCATACAGGTTGAACTTGTAGGGGTGGGACGGCAGCAAACCAGGCACGGTCACCGTGCGGGACCCACTGTCCAAGTGCAGCTCCTGCGGCTGGCCCTGCACGTCTACGTACTGCACTGTGAAGGAGTCAAAGGTGCCTTCGGGAACGCTCCATTCCAGTTGGACGGAGTTGGGGCTGACATGGGATGCTGTCAGCTCTCCGAGGCGCGGCTGGGATGGTGGTTGCTCCTCCACCACTTCTGCAGCTGCAATACAGAAGACACAGGGCAGGATAACAGCATGGTCCTGCCCATCAGTCATATCCAACCAACCTTTCTCTGTACCCTTTTTCCATCCACTCTGAATCTTCTGAGCACTTGAACCATCTAACCCAACTGCCATTGCTTCACACCACCACCATTCAACCAGCTTACCGTCCCACCATTCATGCAAGGATTCTCTCTGTACCTCCATCCACTCATTTCCCTACACAACCACGAGCGCAGTTTGACAGACCAAGCAATGCTTACTCCTTCTTCCATCCAAGAGTTATCTAACTCATCTGTGAACATATCCATCCACTGTACCAGCACACCAAGGATCTACCTATCCCTTCTCCATCCATCCACCTATTCCTAAGTTCTTCCATCCATCCTTTCGCTCCTTCATGTATCTGCTCATCCAATCAAACAAATGCTCCAACAGCCACAATCTTATAGGGCAGCCATCACCCCACCCGTTCCCCATCGCTCCCTTCATACTTCAGCGCAACATTTCATGGATGCGTCCCAAAAAAAGGCACCCTAATCGGGTTCATCCCATTGCCAGAGGAAATCAAGATCCACAGCCCACGCCATGTTTCTCTTTCTACCTCCAGGAAACCCAGAGCCCACCAGGTGCCAATTCTGGCCCTCACCTGTGACGGCATCAGTGGAGATGGGGCCCAGCCGTTTCTTCCCCCACACCCCGTACAGGTTGAACTTGTAGCGGCGGGACGGCGACAGCCCGGGCACGCTCACGGAGCGCGACCCACCGTCCACGGGCACCACCTGCGGCTGGCCTTGCGCGTCCTTGTATTGCACCGTGAAGGAGTCAAAGGAGCCCTCGGGGACGCTCCACTCCAGCTGCACGGAGTCGGGGCTGACGTGCGATGCCGTCACCTCACCCAGGCGTGGTGGAGAAGGTGGTTCCTCTACTGCTGGCGCGGCAGCTGCAATGCACAGGAAGTAATATGTTGCAAAAACATCCAACCGATCTACATTCCATCCATTCAACAACCCAACCAACATGCATTCTGCCATACAGCTGTGCTCTGAGCACTAGTTTATTCAAGAACTCTTCCATCCATCCTTCCGTCCATCCATCACAAAACAGTTAACAGCCATTCCCTCCTCCAAGCTTCCTCCAATCTTGCAGGCACTCATCCCTACAGACATTCCAAACCAATAACAAGGAAACGTTTCCTTCTCAAGCACGATGACTGTAAGCAAGAGGAGCCATGAAAGGCACCTGCCATATGCCGGGCCCACTGCCAGCAGGACATGGAATGAGCACACTGCATCCTCACCTGTGACAGCATCAGTGGAGATGGGGCCCAGCCGTTTCCGCCCCCACACGCCGTACAGGTTGAACTTGTAGCGGCGGGACGGCGACAGCCCGGGCACACTCACGGAGCGCGACCCACCGTCCACGGGCACCACCTGCGGCTGGCCTTGCGCGTCCTTGTACTGCACCGTGAAGGAGTCAAAGGAGCCCTCGGGGACGCTCCACTCCAGCTGCACGGAGTCAGGGCTGACATGCGATGCCGTCACCTCACCCAGGCGTGGTGGGGAAGGTGGTTCCTCCACTGCTGGAGCTACAGCAGCAACACAGTAAAAGCAATCAGCGCTGAAAGCATCCACACAAGCAATCCTCCATGCCCACAACAACCAAACAAACATTCATCCAACAATCCGGTTCCGCTCTCAGCACAAATTTACCCAAGCACCATTCCACAAAAATTATCAATCATTCCCCCTTCCAACAATTCTTCCTCCAAGCTTGCATGCACTCATCCCTACAGACTTTCCATTCTACAAGAAAACACTTCTTTCTCAACCAAGAGGTCTGTAAGCAGGACGGGCCATTAAAGGTTCAGGTCATATGCCAAGCCCAACGTCAGTAGCAGGACAAGGAACGAGCACACTGCATCCTCACCTGTGACGGCGTCAGTGGAGATGGGGCCCAGCCGTTTCCGCCCCCACACCCCGTACAGGTTGAACTTGTAGCGGCGGGACGGCGACAGCCCGGGCACACTCACGGAGCGCGACCCACCGTCCACGGGCACCACCTGCGGCTGGCCTTGCGCGTCCTTGTACTGCACCGTGAAGGAGTCAAAGGAGCCCTCGGGGACGCTCCACTCCAGCTGCACGGAGTCGGGGCTGACGCGCGATGCCGTCACCTCACCCAGGCGTGGTGGAGCAGGTGGTTCCTCCACTGCTGGCACGGCAGCTGCAGCACAAAGTCCATGTCCACCCATCCTATTATCCTCACGTTCAACAGCTGACCAACCATTCTCCAAACATCCACCTGTCCCGATTGACAAGTTATCCCACCCCAACCTTCCATCCATACTTCTATCCATGCAACCCAATCCTCTCCACTCATCACTACCCCCTACTCCTCCCACCCTGCTTGCTCCCATCCCTCCATACTTTCCCCCGCTTTGCCACAGAACCTTTCCGTTTCCATTCACACGCCAGTCACCAGCACAGCCCATCACACTGCTCACGCCACGCGCCAAGCTCAAGGCCCTCTCAAGAGAGGCGCAGCATGCGGGGACCCTCACCTGTGATGGCGTCAGTGGAGATGGGGCCCAGACGTGTCTGCCCCCACAGCCCATACAGGTTGAACTTGTAGGGGTGGGACGGCAGCAAACCAGGCACGGTCACCGTGCGGGACCCACTGTCCAAGTGCAGCTCCTGCGGCTGGCCCTGCACGTCTACGTACTGCACTGTGAAGGAGTCAAAGGTGCCTTCGGGAACGCTCCATTCCAGTTGGACGGAGTTGGGGCTGACATGGGATGCTGTCAGCTCTCCGAGGCGCGGCTGGGATGGTGGTTGCTCCTCCACCACTTCTGCAGCTGCAATACAGAAGACACAGGGCAGGATAACAGCATGGTCCTGCCCATCAGTCATATCCAACCAACCTTTCTCTGTACCCTTTTTCCATCCACTCTGAATCTTCTGAGCACTTGAACCATCTAACCCAATTGCCATTGCTTCACACAGCCACATACTGGACAACCAGCTTACCATCCCACCATTCATGCAAGGATTCTCTCTGTACCTCCATCCACTCATTTCCCTACACAACCACGAGCGCAGTTCAACAGACCAAGCAATGCTTACTCCTTCATCCATCCAAGAGTTATCTAACTCATCTGTGAACATATCCATCCACTGTACCAGCACACCAAGGATCTACCTATCCCTTCTCCATCCATCCACCTATTCCTAAGTTCTTCCATCCATCCTTTCGCTCCTTCATGTATCTGCCCATCCAATCAAACAAATACTCCAACAGCCACAATCTTAAAGGGCAGCCATCACCCCACCCGTTCCCCATCGCTCCCTTCATACTTCAGCGCAACATTTCATGGATGCGTCCCAAAAAAAGGCACCCTAATCGGGTTCATCCCATTGCCAGAGGAAATCAAGATCCACAGCCCACGCCATGTCTCTCTTTCTATCTCCAGGAAACCCAGAGCCCACCAGGTGCCAATTCCGGCCCTCACCTGTGACGGCATCAGTGGAGATGGGGCCCAGCCGTTTCTTCCCCCACACCCCGTACAGGTTGAACTTGTAGCGGCGGGACGGCGACAGCCCGGGCACGCTCACGGAGCGCGACCCACCGTCCACGGGCACCACCTGCGGCTGGCCTTGCGCGTCCTTGTACTGCACCGTGAAGGAGTCAAAGGAGCCCTCGGGGACGCTCCACTCCAGCTGCACGGAGTCGGGGCTGACGCGCGATGCCGTCACCTCACCCAGGCGTGGTGGAGAAGGTGGTTCCTCTACTGCTGGCACGGCAGCTGCAATGCACAGGAAGTAATATGTTGCAAAAACATCCACCCGATCTACATTCCATCCATTCAACAACCCAACCAACATGCATTCTGCCATACAGCTGTGCTCTGAGCACTAGTTTATTCAAGAACTCTTCCATCCATCCTTCCGTCCATCCATCACAAAACAGTTAACAGCCATTCCCTCCTCCAAGCTTCCTCCAATCTTGCAGGCACTCATCCCTACAGACATTCCAAACCAATAACAAGGAAACGTTTCCTTCTCAAGCACGATGACTGTAAGCAAGAGGAGCCATGAAAGGCACCTGCCATATGCCGGGCCCACTGCCAGCAGGACATGGAATGAGCACACTGCATCCTCACCTGTGACAGCATCAGTGGAGATGGGGCCCAGCCGTTTCCGCCCCCACACGCCGTACAGGTTGAACTTGTAGCGGCGGGACGGCGACAGCCCGGGCACGCTCACGGAGCGCGACCCACCGTCCACGGGCACCACCTGCGGCTGGCCTTGCGCGTCCTTGTACTGCACCGTGAAGGAGTCAAAGGAGCCCTCGGGGACGCTCCACTCCAGCTGCACGGAGTCGGGGCTGACATGCGATGCCGTCACCTCACCCAGGCGTGGTGGGGAAGGTGGTTCCTCCACTGCTGGAGCTACAGCAGCAACACAGTAAAAGCAATCAGCGCTGAAAGCATCCACACAAGCAATCCTCCATGCCCACAACAACCAAACAAACATTCATCCAACAATCCGGTTCCGCTCTCAGCACAAATTTACCCAAGCACCATTCCACAAAAATTATCAATCATTCCCCCTTCCAACAATTCTTCCTCCAAGCTTGCATGCACTCATCCCTACAGACTTTCCATTCTACAAGAAAACACTTCTTTCTCAACCAAGAGGTCTGTAAGCAGGACGGGCCATTAAAGGTTCAGGTCATATGCCAAGCCCAACGTCAGTAGCAGGACAAGGAACGAGCACACTGCATCCTCACCTGTGACGGCGTCAGTGGAGATGGGGCCCAGCCGTTTCCGCCCCCACACCCCGTACAGGTTGAACTTGTAGCGGCGGGACGGCGACAGCCCGGGCACACTCACGGAGCGCGACCCACCGTCCACGGGCACCACCTGCGGCTGGCCTTGCGCGTCCTTGTACTGCACCGTGAAGGAGTCAAAGGAGCCCTCGGGGACGCTCCACTCCAGCTGCACGGAGTCGGGGCTGACGCGCGATGCCGTCACCTCACCCAGGCGTGGTGGAGCAGGTGGTTCCTCCACTGCTGGCACGGCAGCTGCAGCACAAAGTCCATGTCCACCCATCCTATTATCCTCACGTTCAACAGCTGACCAACCATTCTCCAAACATCCACCTGTCCCGATTGACAAGTTATCCCACCCCAACCTTCCATCCATACTTCTATCCATGCAACCCAATCCTCTCCACTCATCACTACCCCCTACTCCTCCCACCCTGCTTGCTCCCATCCCTCCATACTTTCCCCCGCTTTGCCACAGAACCTTTCCGTTTCCATTCACACGCCAGTCACCAGCACAGCCCATCACACTGCTCACGCCACGCGCCAAGCTCAAGGCCCTCTCAAGAGAGGCGCAGCATGCGGGGACCCTCACCTGTGATGGCGTCAGTGGAGATGGGGCCCAGACGTGTCTGCCCCCACAGCCCATACAGGTTGAACTTGTAGGGGTGGGACGGCAGCAAACCAGGCACGGTCACCGTGCGGGACCCACTGTCCAAGTGCAGCTCCTGCGGCTGGCCCTGCACGTCTACGTACTGCACTGTGAAGGAGTCAAAGGTGCCTTCGGGAACGCTCCATTCCAGTTGGACGGAGTTGGGGCTGACATGGGATGCTGTCAGCTCTCCGAGGCGCGGCTGGGATGGTGGTTGCTCCTCCACCACTTCTGCAGCTGCAATACAGAAGACACAGGGCAGGATAACAGCATGGTCCTGCCCATCAGTCATATCCAACCAACCTTTCTCTGTACCCTTTTTCCATCCACTCTGAATCTTCTGAGCACTTGAACCATCTAACCCAATTGCCATTGCTTCACACAGCCACATACTGGACAACCAGCTTACCATCCCACCATTCATGCAAGGATTCTCTCTGTACCTCCATCCACTCATTTCCCTACACAACCACGAGCGCAGTTCAACAGACCAAGCAATGCTTACTCCTTCATCCATCCAAGAGTTATCTAACTCATCTGTGAACATATCCATCCACTGTACCAGCACACCAAGGATCTACCTATCCCTTCTCCATCCATCCACCTATTCCTAAGTTCTTCCATCCATCCTTTCGCTCCTTCATGTATCTGCCCATCCAATCAAACAAATACTCCAACAGCCACAATCTTAAAGGGCAGCCATCACCCCACCCGTTCCCCATCGCTCCCTTCATACTTCAGCGCAACATTTCATGGATGCGTCCCAAAAAAAGGCACCCTAATCGGGTTCATCCCATTGCCAGAGGAAATCAAGATCCACAGCCCACGCCATGTCTCTCTTTCTATCTCCAGGAAACCCAGAGCCCACCAGGTGCCAATTCCGGCCCTCACCTGTGACGGCATCAGTGGAGATGGGGCCCAGCCGTTTCTTCCCCCACACCCCGTACAGGTTGAACTTGTAGCGGCGGGACGGCGACAGCCCGGGCACGCTCACGGAGCGCGACCCACCGTCCACGGGCACCACCTGCGGCTGGCCTTGCGCGTCCTTGTACTGCACCGTGAAGGAGTCAAAGGAGCCCTCGGGGACGCTCCACTCCAGCTGCACGGAGTCGGGGCTGACGCGCGATGCCGTCACCTCACCCAGGCGTGGTGGAGAAGGTGGTTCCTCTACTGCTGGCACGGCAGCTGCAATGCACAGGAAGTAATATGTTGCAAAAACATCCACCCGATCTACATTCCATCCATTCAACAACCCAACCAACATGCATTCTGCCATACAGCTGTGCTCTGAGCACTAGTTTATTCAAGAACTCTTCCATCCATCCTTCCGTCCATCCATCACAAAACAGTTAACAGCCATTCCCTCCTCCAAGCTTCCTCCAATCTTGCAGGCACTCATCCCTACAGACATTCCAAACCAATAACAAGGAAACGTTTCCTTCTCAAGCACGATGACTGTAAGCAAGAGGAGCCATGAAAGGCACCTGCCATATGCCGGGCCCACTGCCAGCAGGACATGGAATGAGCACACTGCATCCTCACCTGTGACAGCATCAGTGGAGATGGGGCCCAGCCGTTTCCGCCCCCACACGCCGTACAGGTTGAACTTGTAGCGGCGGGACGGCGACAGCCCGGGCACGCTCACGGAGCGCGACCCACCGTCCACGGGCACCACCTGCGGCTGGCCTTGCGCGTCCTTGTACTGCACCGTGAAGGAGTCAAAGGAGCCCTCGGGGACGCTCCACTCCAGCTGCACGGAGTCGGGGCTGACATGCGATGCCGTCACCTCACCCAGGCGTGGTGGGGAAGGTGGTTCCTCCACTGCTGGAGCTACAGCAGCAACACAGTAAAAGCAATCAGCGCTGAAAGCATCCACACAAGCAATCCTCCATGCCCACAACAACCAAACAAACATTCATCCAACAATCCGGTTCCGCTCTCAGCACAAATTTACCCAAGCACCATTCCACAAAAATTATCAATCATTCCCCCTTCCAACAATTCTTCCTCCAAGCTTGCATGCACTCATCCCTACAGACTTTCCATTCTACAAGAAAACACTTCTTTCTCAACCAAGAGGTCTGTAAGCAGGACGGGCCATTAAAGGTTCAGGTCATATGCCAAGCCCAACGTCAGTAGCAGGACAAGGAACGAGCACACTGCATCCTCACCTGTGACGGCGTCAGTGGAGATGGGGCCCAGCCGTTTCCGCCCCCACACCCCGTACAGGTTGAACTTGTAGCGGCGGGACGGCGACAGCCCGGGCACACTCACGGAGCGCGACCCACCGTCCACGGGCACCACCTGCGGCTGGCCTTGCGCGTCCTTGTACTGCACCGTGAAGGAGTCAAAGGAGCCCTCGGGGACGCTCCACTCCAGCTGCACGGAGTCGGGGCTGACGCGCGATGCCGTCACCTCACCCAGGCGTGGTGGAGCAGGTGGTTCCTCCACTGCTGGCACGGCAGCTGCAGCACAAAGTCCATGTCCACCCATCCTATTATCCTCACGTTCAACAGCTGACCAACCATTCTCCAAACATCCACCTGTCCCGATTGACAAGTTATCCCACCCCAACCTTCCATCCATACTTCTATCCATGCAACCCAATCCTCTCCACTCATCACTACCCCCTACTCCTCCCACCCTGCTTGCTCCCATCCCTCCATACTTTCCCCCGCTTTGCCACAGAACCTTTCCGTTTCCATTCACACGCCAGTCACCAGCACAGCCCATCACACTGCTCACGCCACGCGCCAAGCTCAAGGCCCTCTCAAGAGAGGCGCAGCATGCGGGGACCCTCACCTGTGATGGCGTCAGTGGAGATGGGGCCCAGACGTGTCTGCCCCCACAGCCCATACAGGTTGAACTTGTAGGGGTGGGACGGCAGCAAACCAGGCACGGTCACCGTGCGGGACCCACTGTCCAAGTGCAGCTCCTGCGGCTGGCCCTGCACGTCTACGTACTGCACTGTGAAGGAGTCAAAGGTGCCTTCGGGGACGCTCCATTCCAGTTGGACGGAGTTGGGGCTGACATGGGATGCTGTCAGCACTCCGAGGCGCGGCTGGGATGGTGGTTGCTCCTCCACCTCTTCTGCAGCTGCAATACAGAAGACACAGCGCAGGATAACAGCATGGTCCTGCCCATCAGTCATATCCAGCCACCCTCTCTCTGTACCCTTTTTCCATCCACTCTGAATCTTCTGAGCACTTGAACCATCTAACCCAACTGCCATTGCTTCACACCACCACCATTCAACCAGCTTACCGTCCCACCATTCATGCAAGGATTCTCTCTGTACCTCCATCCACTCATTTCCCTACACAACCACGAGCGCAGTTTGACAGACCAAGCAATGCTTACTCCTTCTTCCATCCAAGAGTTATCTAACTCATCTGTGAACATATCCATCCACTGTACCAGCACACCAAGGATTTACCTATCCCTTCTCCATCCATCCACCTATTCCTAAGTTCTTCCATCCATCCTTTCGCTCCTTCATGTATCTGCTCATCCAATCAAACAAATGCTTCAACAGCCACAATCTTAAAGGGCAGCCATCACCCCACCCGTTCCCCATCGCTCCCTTCATACTTCAGCGCAACATTTCACGGATCCTTCCCTAAAAAAGGCACCCTAATCGGGTTCATCCCATTGCCAGAGGAAATCAAGATCCACAGCCCACGCCATGTTTCTCTTTCTACCTCCAGGAAACCCAGAGCCCACCAGGTGCCAATTCCGGCCCTCACCTGTGACGGCATCAGTGGAGATGGGGCCCAGCCGTTTCCGCCCCCACACGCCGTACAGGTTGAACTTGTAGCGGCGGGACGGCGACAGCCCGGGCACGCTCACGGAGCGCGACCCACCGTCCACGGGCACCACCTGCGGCTGGCCTTGCGCGTCCTTGTACTGCACCGTGAAGGAGTCAAAGGAGCCCTCGCGGACGCTCCACTCCAGCTGCACGGAGTCGGGGCTGACGTGCGATGCCGTCACCTCACCCAGGCGTGGTGAGGAAGGTGATTCTTCCTTTGGTTTTGCTGAAGCTTTAGCACAACAAAATACACATAGAAGAAAGACGTCCTTTCCCCTATGCACTCATTTGTGCTATTGTTTATCTATTTATATGTGCATCCAGTCAGCTATAGCCGCCACTCACTCAGCACAGAAAGCTATATAACTTTCTTTCTCCATATTTTCCCCTCCATTCTCATCTACTTAATTATCTTTTTTGCTAGCTAATCCAGACTGTCATAAATCCACTATTGTTTTCTTTTTTTCCCATCCATTCACGCATTCATTTTCTCCACTCATCCAAAAATCCATTTTTGCATCTATTCAGTCGGCACCCTCTGTCCCACCTATCTATCTACCTACAACCAACACATGGGCCACTCACACCCTCATCCAGCTTTCCATCCTTTCAGTTCTCCAGCCCTCAGACCCTGCACACAGTCATTCACAGCATCAAATCAAGGGGCAAGATTTGTTCCTTTGTCTCCCAAGTTTGAAGTTTGAAGTGATCCAAAGGGGGGCTCACAGTAGCCTCACCTGTGACAGCATCAGTGGAGATGAAACCAATGCGCTTCCGCCCCCACACCCCATACAGGTTGAATTTGTAGCGGCGGGATGGCGACAGCCCGTGCACGGTCACTGTGCGCGACTCTCCGTCCACCGCAAGTGCCTGTGGCTGGCCTTGTGCATCCCTGTACTGCACCGTGAAGGAGTCAAAGGAGCCCTCCAGGACACTCCATTCCAGCTGGATGGAGTTTGGAGTCACGTGGGAGACTGTGAGCGTGCCTAGGTGGGGCCGCTGTGGTGGTTCCTCCTCTGATGGTGCTGGAACAGTCATGTCAAGATGCAAGGTATAAATATCTATGCATCCATCTAACCTGCATTCAACCTTCAGTCTGTCCTTCCATTCATCCCCTTATTCACTCCTCCATCCACCCATCTCACCATTCAAACATCCAACCACATCAACCTGGATACCAAGTGCTGGTGAACATCTGAGTTACCCCATTGCCACCATCTGGGGTTACCTGCTTTGGCCATGGCCCCCTGGGGCTCAGTCCCCTCCATCTCATAGAGGTTCTTCCATTCTGGTGGAGGCTCACTGGTGTCACCCAGTCCTGCAATCCGAAGAGTAGCGTGGAGTTTTTGGATGCCATCAAGCAACGCTGTCCCCATCCCCACCCCTGTCACCTACCTGCAGTCACCAGGGAAGTGTAGGACTTGGAGACACGTCCCCGCACCACACCGTGCACCTCCACCCGGTATGTGGCCCCTGGCACCAGCCCTGGCACCCGGGCCACTGTGGTGTCCCCTGGCACCCTCATCTCCCCCTCATCCCCCTCCGGCTCCTCCAGTAGCTGGTAGCGGATCACTATGGTCTCCGCATGACCCCGCAGCCCATCCAAATCCACCAGGGCCTCACCAGCAGCTCCTGGCAACACCTGAGGTTTGGGGTGGGGGTTCTGCTGGAGGTGGCGGAGGAATTGATGACGCAGCAAGGCCGGGCTGCGGCGAAGCAGGTAGGAGAGGATGGCACGGGCCACTGCAGGCACTGTCTGGTTGCCTCGGAGTGGAAAATCTGTGGCCCGGAGGTGGCTTTCTAGGCGCTGCAGCAAGGATCCATTGTAGGAAGAAAGCTTGACCCCCAGCTCATGCAGGGATGGGACATTTGGGAGCACTGGGGACACAGGGGATGCTGGGGATAGTGGGGACTGTGGGGATGCTGGGGACCATTGAGATGTAGGTGACCTCGGGGACACTGGGGACTCTGGAGACAATGGGGATTCCAGGGAAGTTGGTGCTGCTGAGGACTCCGGGGACACTGGAGACCTCAGGGATGCTGGTGACCCCAAGGACCCCAGGGACACTGGGGACCGTGGGGATGCTGGAGACCCTCGGGCTGATGGTGACGCTGGGGCCACTGGAGATGCCAGAAATGTAGGGGTCCCCCGTAGCCCCCCTTGGTTGGGCAGAGACTGGGCAAGCACTGTGAAAACAGAAGGGATCCAGGTCACTAGCCTGTCCCCAAAATCCCTCATCTGCCACAGCCCAGGGACACAGGGATGGATACAGGGACACAGGGACACAGGAACAGAGGAGGACAAACAGATGCCTAAGGACAGACTGTGGACATTGGACACTGGGGAACCATAGGGAGTGCCTGGAGACATCCAGACTCACGGGCGCAGACAGATAGAGACAGAGGGACACACAGGGAAGCATCAGGATATGTAGAGACACGTGGACCCATGGGGATGCATGGGGATATTCTGGGGTCACACAGACCTGAAGGGACACAAGGCCCCAAGTGAACAGATGAGCCCATGGGACACACAGCCCCATGGAGATACATTCAGATGGACAGGCTCAGGAAGACATATGGACCCACAGGGACAGACTGCTGACACACAGAGCTCTGCAAGACAGACAGATGCATGTGGACCCTCAGAGCCATGGGAACAATAAAGACACATGGGGACAGACAGAGGCTGCAAACACCACCCATCTCCGCTCCCATTCCAGTACCCATCCCTGCCCCATGACTGCCTATAATCGTACCCCACGCCTGTTCCTTCCTCCATCTCTTTATCTGCGACATTCCCATCCCTGTTCCCATTCCATCTTCACTCCCACGCTTGTCCCCACTTCAATCATCCCTGTCCCCACCTCAGACCCCACGCCCATGATGTCCCCACCCCGTGCTTGCGTTATTCCTGTCCCCATGCCTGTCCTTGTGCTATGCTCATTCCCATCTCTGTGCTGAATGCTGTCTCCATACATGTTGCCCCCTCGCAATGTCATCCCTGCCCCCATTTTTGTGCCCACGCCATCCCATGCCCCTTCTGTCCCCATGCCTGTCCCACAGCAGATGGCACATACAGGTGCGGACACGCAAGGTGCCCGGTGCCCCGAGGTGCTGCTCCCGCTGGGCCTGGATGAAGATCTCAAAAGCTTGTCCAGGTGTCAGCCCTGTCACTTCAAAGGTGACAGCTGAACTAGGCAGCTCGTGGGTGGTCAGTGCTGCTGGTTCATCCTGGGGACAAAGGACACATCAAAGACACACTGAAGACTCCATGTGGGACCTCTTCCTGAACCAGGCAGGTGGCCACAGTCAATGGCTTCTCCTAGAGCTGGGAGATGACTCAGGGACACATGGGGACACATCACTGCCTCCATGCTGGGCAGCAGAGGAGTGCCACAGGTGTGACAGAGGATGTGCTGGAGACAAGCAGCAGATGGGTGACACCACCACGACTAATCCTCAGCACAAGGGACACAGTGGGGAGATGTCTCCACTCCTGAGCCATGCTGCAATGGTGTGAACTGGCCTCTGTCATGGTCTGAAGACAATAGGCACTTTGGAGACATGCTGGGGACACAATGAGGACACTTTAGAGATGCCCCCAAATGGGGCAGAAGTCGATGACCATGGACACCAGCCCATCCTGGGGACAAGTTTCACACTGCAGACACAATGGAGCCACCACACTGGGACATCACTGTGCTGAGGATGCGTCCTCATTCCCATCCCCGTCTCCAGCTCACCATGGGGATGACTGCCACCTCATAGCCATCCACAGGCTTGGCTGGCCGCGGCCAGGTCACACGGAAGGACGTCTGGTTGCGCGCAGCCAGGCGCAGCGTCACTGAGGGGATCTCTGCAGGGAAAGAGCCCAGATGGGAGGTGGCCCCACAGGAACACTTCTGAGCCCTACAGGATGAGGCAGCCACAGCTTGGGGACACCCTCAGAACACCACAAGACAGTAGGTCAAAGGAATGAAGACAATATGGGGACATGGAGGCAGTTTCCAAGGAACAAAAGTGCCCAAGCCATGGGAACACCAGGACACTCAGGGCACTGGAAGGATCTGGGACAACTGAAAGCACTGGGATGGGGACACTGGGAGAGCACTGAAGGACAGCAGAGGAAACTGGGGGACAGACAAGGATACTTGGAAGCGGCATCAGGACCAGATGCCAAGGGAGCAGCAGGCTTGGTGACATACCGAGGGTGCAGTGGGGCCCACCACGGCCAGGGGGGCAGATGGGAGTCGCACAGAATGGTCCTGTGAAGCCCTCAAAGCAGTGGCAGCGGCCAGCCCGGCAACGTCCCTGGTCACTGCAGTCGAAGGGACAGCGGGGTGCGGGACACGGGAGACCATCCCCGGCCTCCCCCATGCGGCACCCACAGCAGCCCCCTGCCCCAGGGGTGTCACACAGCCTCCGCGCTGCTGTGCTCCCTGTGGGGTTGAGCAGGGTCCTCGTGAGCCACACACCTCCCTTTGACTTCTCCATGTCTCCCCACATGTCCCTCACACACCCCCACAGCTCATTATGTCTCACATGCACTCCTGTGTCCTCCACGTCCCAATGTCCTCCCCATGTCCTACACTGTTCCCTTGTCCACATCACCCATGTTCCCCCGTTACTCTCCATCATCCTACATTCCACATTTCCCTGCATCCCCCTCATCCCCTTGTCCTCCCATCCACATCCCCTACATAGCTCCTACGTCCCTATCCCCATGCTCCCTGCCGCGTCCCTCATGTCCCCACTGTCCCCCCACATCCCTCAAACAGCCCCATACATCTCATATCTCCGAAGTCTTCCCATATCTCCCATTCTCCCCAACACATCCCCCATATCCCTGATCCCCACACCCTCCATGTCCCCATCTCCCCCCTCCTCGCCCCCATACCAGTGCCAGCCTGGGGCCCCAGGCTGTCCCCGCACTGTCCCTGCAGCGCCCTCACTTCTCCCTCCAGTGCCCGCAGCCGTCCCAGCACCGCCTCCAGCACCTCTGCCCCACAGGAGAGCTCCGGGGGGACAGGGGGAGGACCGGGGGATGTTCCCGCATTCCCTTGCGCTCTCCGAAGTGCCAGCGCCAGCAGCAGCAGCGGCAGCCCCGGGGTCATGATCCTGCAGGGAGGGGACGGATGCCAGCGGCACAGGGACCCCCCAGGGGACACACAAAGGTCTCCGACACCGTGGGGTGGGGTTACACCCACCTCACACCCCCAGTGTCACTCTTCCCCCCCCCCCCCCCCCCCGACTCCGAGGGTCCCATACAGAGCTGGGGCTGTGGGGTAGCACCAGTGCTGCCAGCTACACCCCAGTGATCCCAGTTCCCACTGCCTCCAGTAGCTTCACACACCACCCTTCAGAATATATGAACTCCAGTAACCATCAGCAGCCCTGCCCAGCAACACCAATACCACAGGGAACACAAATAACGTCAGGAATTCCAATAACACCACTGCACAATAATTCTACTGACACTACCACCACCAGTAGCACCAGTGAGACCGACAACATCAGCAATGCTGGCAACACCAGCAATTGGCACCAGCATGCCAATTTCTCCAGTAATTCCAGTGACACCAGCAACTCCAGTAATGCCAGCAGCACCAGCAAGTCAAACCATCCAGCAACTTCAATAATTCCAGACACTGCAGCAGCACCAGTAACCCCAGCAACCCCAGTAACTCCAGCAGCACCAGCAGCTCCAGCAGCTCCAGTAATCCCACCAGCTGCACTAACTCTAATAACTCCGGTAACTTCAGCAACTCCAGCAGCACCAGTAGCACCAGCCAGCTCCTCCAGTAACCCCAGCAGCCCCGTAACGCAGCAATGCTGCAGCCCCATCCCCACCCCTCCTTCCCCCCATCTCCCCAGTACTTTCCCAGTGCTGGAGCTGCTCCCAGGGGTCAGGATGTGACCTGTGGGTGGGGCCTGGAACTGGACCAGTTGGGTTCAGGTGAGCCCAACTGCACCCAATTGGGTCTGGCTGGTTTGGTTCAACCCAGTGTGGCTTGGCTCAGCTCAGCTCAGTTCTGCTCACCTCAGCCCTGTTCAGCCCAATTGGGTTCTGTTAGGTTCTGCTGGGCCAGGCCCGGCGGCAGCAGCGCGGCACTGAGGGCTCCGGGGCGGCTCCGGCCCTTTCATAGCCCCGGGCCGGGCGCAGGGCCAGCGCTGACCTCATGGCGTGGCCACGGCACCTGTGGGCTGCTCAGCAGGCAGCTCCAGGACACAGCAGCCAGCAGCAGAGCAGAATGTGGCCGAGGAGGGGCACGATGTCCTCACATCGGCCACACGCTGAGCATCGGGGGATGTAGGGACCACCTCCCCATGGAGCGAAGGGAAGCGGACTCCCCCCCCCCCGCAGGGCCCTCCGCCCTGGGCTGAGCAGAACCGGGCGGACCCAGAGGGGGCCACGATGTGTTTACAGGCAGCGGTCGCTGTGGCAACCAAACATCTGGGCGGCGCAGCCAGATGTGGGGTCCAGCTGCCATAGCAGAGCAGTGACACAACGCGTGGGGGAGCGCGGGGGGGGCTGCAGCCCGGAGCACTCCCAGTGACCCAGCACTGCCTGTCCTGGTGATTCCAGTGATCCCAGTAACACAGCATGGCCCATCCCAGTGCTCCCAGTATCTCAGCACCACTTGTCTTAATCGTACCAGTAACTGAGCACTGCCTGCACCAATGATCCCAGTAACACAGCACAGCCACAGCTGGTGCCCCCAGGAACCCCAGCTCTGCCTGACCTACAGCTTCCAGCATTCCCTGCCACCTGTCCCGTGGTTCCCAGCTACCACAGTGCTACCTGTTCCAGTAATCCCAGTGCTCCCAGTAACCACAGTGCTACCTGTTCCAATAGTCCCAGTGTTCCCATTAAGTCAGTGCCACCTGCTGCACAGCTCCCAGTAACCACAATTCTGCTTGCCTCATATCCCCCAATGCTCTCAGTAAAAACAGAACCCACTACAATTTGGGGGTAGACTCACTATGGGTTGGCTGTGGGGCCAGGCTATGAAACTATATTGCAGTGGGTTTGCTATGGGGCAGAGCCTTGAGGCTATGGGGCTGTGCCATAGGACCATGCTGCGTGACAGTGCCATATGGGGCCATAGGGCTGAGCCACAGACAGGGCCGGGTGGGGCCATGACTCAGCCTGGCCCTGCACTCCCCCCTCTGCTTCTCTCCCCCCCCTCCCCCCCCCCCCCCACTTCCTCCCCCCTCCTGGGCTGTTGTTGTTGCTGTGGGACACGGGGTGGGGAGTACAGGCTCGGCAGGGATCCACTGTGTGGGGGTTGGAGGCACCCAGACACCCACATCCCCATGGGGAAGTGTGAGATGGGGTCCCTGGGTGTTGGGCCCCCCAGTGTAGGAGTTACAGGGCAGAGCTGGGGAAGGGAGGAGGCGGATGCTTGGGGTCCCCAGGGCCTCGGGGGGAGGGGCAGAGCCCACGGGGTGGGAGAAACGGCCGCCAGGGTTCACTGGCTCGTGATCGTGTTTTGCTCTTTGCCTCCGGCTGGGCGGACCCAACCCGGGGGGGGCTGCGGGATACATGTGGGGCTGAGACATGGGACACGTGTAGGGTTGACGAGCACGCGTAGGGCTGGGGGGGAGGGATGCGTGGTGTGCATAACAAGTAGGGGTCAGGAGGTGACCCTAAATGTGGCCCCGCAGCTCTCTCCCTCCATGACCCCAACACAGCAGCACACAGAGCCCTTTGGTGCCACAGGGAACACACGGGGCCATAAGGGGCAGGAGAGAAGCAGGTGACACAGCAAACCAGCAGGAGCCACGCTATCCTGAATGGACCCTGCTGCTTCCATACCACCTGCCCTCCCCATCTCAAGCCCCCATCCTGTCCCTGTCCCCTTTTCTAATCCCCACAGATCCTATAGTGGGCTAGCAAAGTTCTAGCCAAGTTCTGAAGCAAACAAGGACAAGCCCAAACAAAGCAGCCATGGACACAGAAACGAAGGAAGAAAAATAGCTCACGTTCAAAAGGTCTCAGGTAGGCAGAGATCTCCAGCAAAATGGCCTCCCCTCCACTGCCAGCCCTTAAATGAGGACTGAGAAGGGGTGGATTCTGGCTCCATCCCTCCCAGGCACTCAGGTGCATTGCATACACCTGAGCTCCCCTGGTTGGCCCCACCTTCCCACCCTCCCGGTGACTGAGGTGCTCAATCACTGCTTCAAGCCCTGACTTAGCATTGCCATTACACGCTATAACATCCCAATGACAGAATGGTGACACCTCAAAGCCACTCTGGGTGCCCCTCATATGCCTTGGGGGCACCCCTGCGTGTGGTGGTGACATCCTGGGCATCCTTCAGGACACCTCTGGGACCCCAACATGCTTCAGCTCTCCCAATTCCTCCATGATTGTCCTCACTGAGACCCACACAGACAGCCATTACCTCTGTTAAGATACAGTTATGAGTGGGAGGAGTTGAAAGGAATGTGTTGTTTTAAGCTGTCAGATAAGGAGTCAAAGGGAAAATGGAACAGCTACATCACTTGGCTCAGGAGGTGAAGCAGAACAGCCGGGCTGAATGCTGACCGCACTGACACGACTGTTCGTGCTGTTTGTATTTTTGCCTATCATGACAATTTTGTGGTGGTTTCTGGGATTCCGGAAAATTATGTCAGATGTCCCAACGCATCATGGTGATGAAAAGCAGCAGCAGGGAATCGTTCCTTGAACTGACAAATATGCAAAAATGTGAGGAGAAATTCCATAGGGGGAAACTTGTGGTTGGCCACAGCAGTGACGGTGCAGCAATACAAGGACAAGAGTGTAAAAACCAGAACACAAGTATGTGTAACAGCACCACAAAAAGGAAGTGAGACTTAATTATATAAGCCTAATCAATGTGATAGAACACACAGTGCTGTGTGAAATCCTGCATGATACTGCAGGACAGCTAATGAGCTGTCACCTGGCTGTGCACACCAAGGGACTGACGTAAGGAAGAGCAACCAGGGAGCAATTCTCAAAGCAATGCCTGTTTGTCACCTTTATGCAGCTCTGCGTGTGCTTGCTTTGTGCCTTACTGCCTGGCACCTCATCCCTGCGCTTGGAATAATACAGGACCTGACTCAGAATGTTCCAGGTTTATGTCACCGAGACTCGCTGAGGGACAACAAGGGTTAAACTCTACAGGCTGGCCTTAAAAAGGGCTGTGGGGGAGGAAGAGAGGTCCCAGCAAAATCCGTGCAGCCTCCTTGTATCCACAGGGGATGGGATGGATGTTCACACTAAAGGACTGGGTGCTGAGGGCCTCTGTTTAAAACACTGAAACATGAAATATTTCTCTCTGCAAATCGTAATCGCAGAGTGAGTGATCAGCGTGCATTTTTCATCTGGGAGCCAGAAATTTGTTCTGGCAGTTTGGCACACAATGTTTTGTTCTGTTTGCATGGGACATCCTAGCTGAATTGCTTGCTGTATTAATCATTAAAACTTGTGCTTCTGTATTTAAAACATTTTGCCGAATACCTTTAAGGTCTAATTGGAATTAAGATGAGCTGTTATTATTCAGCAGCAGTTTTCCACAGGCTGCTGGTCAGTCCTGACTCCAAGAATGCCCAGGGCAACTCCTTTCCTTTCCTCTGCTCTCAGGGGTTTGTCCTCAGATTAACTTCCCTTTGCTTTTATTTCTGTTCCCCGTTCCTGTTTAATTCTGACACCAATTTCTCTTGGTCCTTCCAAACTTCTGAGCCCGCTCCTTGCTGGGGAGGGACATGCTGTATTTTTGCAGCAGTTTATCTGTTACAATCCTGTCTGTGACACCATTTATATTTTTCTGTTGGGTAACATCTGATCCTCAGGCCTATGGCTTTGGAGCTGGGGGGGGCATCAGCAGAGAGCAAAAATGGCTGTTTTTGTCTTGATACTTTTTGTCAGTCACAGCATTGTAGGAATTGGGTGGGAGATACAAAGTTGAGTGCTGTTGTCAGAGAACTCCAGTCCTACTTCTCTTGGTGTGGTGGTAGACTGGGGGAAGGTGTCCTTCAGCAAGCTGGGTAACAGATCTTTGTCTTGCTTGGGATTGTGCCTCATCACACAATCATCTATGGGATTCCCAGTTTTCAGGCTATGATTCATCTGTTGGGATAGGAAGGTGGAGGGAGGAATGAAGGAAGGAAGAAGGTGCATTAGCCATACGTGTTAGCAGGCACATAGAAGACCATCCCTGTGCCCTCCATGCTATCTCGATGTGCTCCTACCAACCCCACAGCCAGGCAATATCCTCCTGGAGGACACTTTGGAGGATCTCATTACCTGTTGGCAGTGCCATCAGAGCTTTTACGCTCTCCTGTCTCCACTCAGGCAGGGGAAAATTAAGGTCTGCAGTCACTCCTCATATGCCCCCTTCCTGCCTGTGGTTTCCCTGCCTTCTTCCTCTTGCGTGAGTGTTTCCTTCCTGGTACTGAGCGGAAGGGAAGTAGCACCTAGTGTTCGTGGTCAGTGTTGACAACGGGGGCACCGAGGACCCATCACCCTTGCCAGGGTCTCTGTGAAAGGATATGTGAGTCCCTGAGGTAGTGGGGGAAGGCTGGAAGGGCAGGGCCGTTGGTGAGGGTCACCTGGGACAACTGGGAGGGATAGATGGACAGCTGGGAGGTCTTCAGGATCTGTAAGATTTGTGGGATGGGATCAGTGGCAAGGCTGGAAGGGGACCGAGAGGTTTTTGGAACTAGAAAGTCTGGGTGAAAAATTGGGATGCCTAAGGGATCATCTGCGAGGTTTGTGGGAAAACTTGATTCATGTGGTTGGTGCACTGGGAAGTCTGGGGGACAGCTTTGAGGTCTGGAGAATGCCAAGATAAGGAGGAAGAGGTGAGAGTAGCAAAGGAAGAAGAGACCTCAGAGAATGGGGGGAAGGAAGGAAGGATGATGGGACAGAAAAGGAAGGGCAGTATTGGAGGGGAGGGATGGGGAGACTGAGCAAAGGAGGTAGGCATGAGTCTGCTCTGCAGGATGCTGGTTACCCCTCTCCCCACAGGTCTCCTGCCATGTCCACACCTCCTTCCAATGTGACTGTCTCTGCAATCCCCAATGCAGCACTGGGACTAACCCTGCTGTCACTGGCAATGGTCATAGGGCTGCCAGGCAACGCGTTTGTGCTGTGGAGCTATATCGTCACCCGTCGCCGCAGCATCCCCATGGTGCTGGTGGCCCATCTGGCCCTGGCTGACGTGGCCACACTGCTCACTGGCCCTGTTTACATCCAATTCCTCAGCAGTGGCCACTGGAACCTGGGCCCAGCCGCGTGCCGTGGTTGCAACTACATCTGTGCAGCCGCCATGTACACCAGCGTCTTCCTCATAGCACTGCTCGGCCTGCATCGCTGCCTGGTGGTGTCCCGACCATCAGCTGCAGTGCTGGCAGGTGACCGTGCCACCCAGCTGGCCCACGGGGCTGCTGCCGTCACTTGGCTGGTGGCCTTGGTGCTGGCCACCCCTTCTATTGCTTTCCGGCACGTGGAGAACGGGATGTGCAAGCGGAAACACAGTTCCAGCGCTTGGCTGGTGACCCACAACCTGCTGGAGACAGGGCTGGGCTGGGCTGTGCCACTGGTCGCCGTGGCCGTTGGTTATGGGCTGCTGCTGCGGCGGCTGCGGCGGACGCGATTGGCACGGCGGGGCCGCACGCTGCGGTTGGTGGCTGCCGTGGTGGTCGCCTTTGCCGTCACCTGGGGACCCTACCATGTCGGGAGCTTGTTGGAAGTGGTGGTGGAGCTGCGGAGCTGCAGTGAGACTCTAAGAAAGGTTGCCAAGGCCATCCGGCCACCAGCCACTGCGCTGGCATTCCTCAGCAGTGCCCTAAATCCGCTGCTCTATGCCTGTGCCGGACGGGGACTGTGTCGCACTGCTGGGGCTGCACTCCTGCCTCGGCTCCTAGAGGGCTCCACAGCCTCCAGCAGTGCCCGTAGGACTGTCACCCATCGGGCCAGAAGCTCGCGGGGACAGCGGGAGAATGGAGGCAAGGAGGTGGCCAGGGAGGATGTGGGGATGAGGGATGGGAGGACAGTGGCAGAGGGAACAGTGACAGGTGATGAGGGGACGGTACTGGAAAGCACTGAGATGGGGGACAGTGGGAGGGTGTGATGGATGGAAAGGCTTTTGGATGGATGTTGTCATTACATTGTGGGGTGGCATGGGGAGGGGTCCCTGGAGTCCTCTAGGGTTGCATTGGGGATTCCCAGGGGTAACTGTGGGAGCTTTAGGGGAGGGTTGCCTTTAGGGGTTATTGGGAGAACTCAGGGGATATCGGGGAGTCTCAACATGTGGATCTCAGTGAGGACATTCAGGGAGGAACTGGGAGAGCTGAAGGATGTTTGGGGGCCCGGGGGTGTCCTGAAGCATGCCTAGGATGTCACCACCACACACAGAGGTGTCCCCATGGCATATGACAGGTGTCCAGGGGACCATACGGTGTCATCATTGTGTCACTGGGATGTCACAGCAGGGTCCCAGGAAATTCATCTGGAATGCTGTTGGAGTGTCCTCAGGGGTCTCTATGGAGTGTCATCATGGAGTCAAAGCTGTGTCATAGCTGATGGTGTCACTGCTGGATGGGGCCACATGTCCCTTTCCCTCGGCCACCTCATCCTTTGGTGACATCACTGGTGACTTCATACCCTCCCAATGGGCTCAGCCCTGCCTCCCAGAGTCAGTGATGGCAACACCTGTGCCTGTTTGTGTTTTTACAGGAAGAAAAAATAAAGTACATAACTTCACAGTTTTGTCTCATTCTTCCCCATTTTGCTGAGGGCCAACAAGGCAACCTCACCCAGAGCCACAGGATAGGGGACACAGGGGACAGCAGATGGATGTGGGGGCTGGGAAGAGAGACAGGGACAGAATGGGGGCATGGGATGGGAAGGACAGGGCGCAGAAAAGGGACATTTTGGGATGTGAAAGGACATGGGCTGAAGAAGGGGTGCAGGGACAGGACTGGGGCTGTGAGGGGGGACATACAGTGGGTATAGGAGAAGGGATGAAGCGGGAGCACTGGGATGAGGAAGAGACACTGGGTCAAGGCTGGATACACAGTACAGGGTTAGGGGAAGAGAAGAGGGAAACTTTGTCATAAGGCAATGAATTCCACTAAACCATGGGGTCTGGGCTTGAGAACTGGGACGCCGCTTGGCTGTCTCTCCATGCTCTTCTGTGGTCTGCTCTGTCCCCTGCTGGTGCGGCACTGCTTTGTCACCACCATCGGTGCAGCTGGCTTGGAAATGGAGCAGGGAGTGAGGGTCTCAGTGCAGGGTGGGCATCACATGAGGAGTGCCCGGGAATCCCTTCCAGACCCAGCTTGTTTCCTGCAAGAGGATATCACTGTGAGCCATGATGGGGAGCTCACATGACTGTGAGCCATATTTTGGGGAGCTCAGACCCCACAGCCAGAGCCCTCACCTATGCCTCCACCACCAAACTGCCCCGATGATGATGGCAGTGAGGAAAAGGATGGTGATGGTGACGACGATGGTGGAAGATGCACTGGGGTTTTCTTGAATGGGGAGAGAGCAGAGGATAGTAGTGAGCGTGCGGCAGCTCCAGGCCACCCAAATCCCAATCCCCATTCCCTACCCCAGAGGATGAGGAGGCTGCGGTCACCCAGGCTGCAGTGCTGCACGCGGCAGGCGTAGCTGTGCCCGTCCCGGGGGGACACCAGCAGGGTGCTGCGGAGCTGGTAGGTGAGGTCGGCGTTGGGTAACACAGCGCCGGTGCTCAGCGCCGGGCTCGGGGGCACCTCTCTGCCGTCCCGCAGCCAGGTGACGGTGATGGGCCGCGGGTAGAAGCTGGTGACACGGCAAACCAGCAGGAGCTGCGCTGGGCCGGCCGTGCGGGCGAAGACCACAGCGATGGGTGGCACTGGGGACAGCAGCAATGGGAGTTCAGTGTGAGCACAACTCAATCTGGGAGCAACAGGGTGGCTATCTGAGGGCCAAGGATCGCTCACCTTGTCTATCCAGATCTGTCCTCCCTTCCTTGTGCAGCATGAGGATGTAGTCTGGCAAGGAGGTGGAGAAGATGTGCTCCAGAAGCCCCGACACGGCGCGGAGGTCAGTGAGAGTGTTGCTCATCAGCTCAGCCAGCAGGGTGGACCTCTGGGGAACCCAGCGCTCCCTACTCAGGTCGTATGTCACCAGGTCTCTGCCACCTTCCCCAATGTTGACAAAGCTCCATCTTGTTCCGTTGGTGTAAAGCTTGCAGCCTGTGTGGATCTGGAAAACCAGTGGGTCTGCAAGGGGCAGAAGGGTATGTGAGCATGGGGACATGAAGATGGCTGGGGAGGTGTGGGCATGATGGGCACCGTGACCACATGAGCTGCCAAAGGAGAAGAGCCGAGCAGTGCAGGGTGGCAGCTCAAGCACTTTGTCCCTCAGAATGTCCCCCTGCAATATTTTCCTTCGTGTTTCCCCTTCCTTGATTCGTGCCAGGTGATTCCCATGGCCCTGTTAATTGTGGGAGCAGATCCTACATGTCCTCCATATCAGGGGAGCAGGATCAGGGGGCAGAAACCCCACAATGCATTTCAGCGCTCCACTGAAATCTCAGGAGACAGAGTGTTTCCCATCACCCTTTGGAGGCTGTCAGCCCCTGCCAAAAGACCCCACAACCCATCACTTTTTGGAGGCTGTCAGACCCCTAGAAGATCCCACAAACTCTGTTGCTTGGTCTGCAGCTGTCCCTCCTACTCACAGTCCAACCCTGCCTTTGTAGCCATCTCATGCATGAACCGAATCGTATTGCGTATGCCGACCATGGAGAAGGACAGAATCTTCTTCACTTCACTCTTAGCCGTGGCTTCGTGGACCCATGGCCGGCAGATGTTTAAGTTCCAGGTGTGCGGATCCAGCACCACTATGGGCACATCTGCCAGCAGAGCCGTCCCAGTCAGTTCTGTGGAGCTGATGTTATCCAAGAGCAATGTGTAGAAGAGCTGGAAAAACTGTAATTCTTCAGGGGGAGGGCATGAGGCTGCAGGAAAGAGGGGAGTGAATGGTGGATGTACCCCATTGCCCAGGTGACCATCTCTGCTGTAGAAGGACATGCAGGGTGTCATGGCAAGAAGCTCATCCACATGATCCCCAGTCTAGAGGCAAGTGGGCATGGACAGGGGCCCCTTTGGGTGCTGTGAGGCTGGGGGCAGCCCCTCGGTGCTGGAGACTATTCCCATCACACAGGAAAAGGTCTCTTAGCCATGCCTCCCCACACACTGCTATAGGATCCCATGATGATGGCTGGGTTGAGCAGGGGCTCCCACTTACTTTCTGCTTCTGCCCATGTCTCGTGGAGGAGAAGGAAGAGGAAGAGGCAGTGAGGCCACATCGTGCCTGCAGCGAAGGCAGTGCAGCGGGGATGGTGGGAAGAGGAAGTGCAGTGGGGTCCCAAAGGCTGCGCTCCACCAATGGGGCTGGCCAGTGAGGTTTCGGGGAGGGTCTAAGATGGGGGCTGAAGAAGCATATGAGGGAATGAGGCTGAACTTGTTCTCATTTGGATCACCGCGCAGCAACTGCACCCCTGTACTGGTGGCAGAGAGTGAGGACATTTGTGCCAATATTGGGGTGCTGCAGCATGTGATGGGTGCTGGGCAAAGGGTCATGGGATGACCAGGAGCCCCCATCTCCCCCTAGCCAGCCACCCCCAGGCACAAACAGACATATTTCTCTTCCCCTTTCCTATGGGCCCCATGCTGGGGCCAAAGCAGAACTGAAACTCAGTCGAGGGGAAGTGCAGAGCCGGGGTGGATGGTTCCAGTGCTGTCCCTCCTGACTGCAATTGGTGTCCCTGAAGGGCTGTGGGGCTTCTGCCCACTCAGACCCCGGTGACACTGCGGTGACCCCAGAATGTGGAGTTTTGACTTCCCAGGTGAGGGCTGAGCCCCGGAGGCCCTCAGGTGCTCCCATGGTGCGTGTACCCTCTGGGCACCACTTCTCCTCACTCCCTCTTGGCTTTCCCTCGAGCCCCTTCCCTCTGCATGCCCCTTCCCAGCCCCGTTCTGCCCAGAGGTGCGCAGAGGAACTGCTGGGATCCACTGCTTTCAGAGCCGGAATTGTTCAGGAGCGCGGATGGGTTCCTCCCAGGGCTGAGATTGGGGTGCTGCCCCCATCATCTGGGAGCACCTCGCCCCACAGCACGGTTATGCCCACAGAGGAAGTACTTGTGGGCTGGGATTTCCGCACAACCTATGGGTCTAATTATTCATTTATTCCACGCTCCGTTTGCCTCAAACCTGCCTGTTTTCACCCAAATCCCACTCACACCCACATCTCCATGGTGAGCAAGGCAGTGTTTGAGCATCGCTTTCCTCTCGGAGCACAGTAGAGCTCAGTGCTGCTCAGCACTTCCAGCGCCGCTGGTGGGCGTCGCTGGAGGGGGAATTGGGCACAAATATCTCCGGAATAGGGTTAATAAAGGCGGTGGGTGGGCAATAAAATGCAGAAGGTGCCAATGGGAGGGTGCAGCTCGCTGCTCGTGGGCAGGTGGGTACCTTTATCAGGGCTGGGGGAGCTGCCGCGAGCACTGGGGCGCCTTCACGAGGTGCAGCGCTGAGAAGCACTCAACTGTGCCCCCTCCCCTCACCGGGCGTTCCGCGGCCGCAGCCCCCGTAGTGCCCCGCGGCTGTCCCATCCTGCACTGCGCTCCGGTGCTCCTCCGGAGGGATGCTGCGCTCCTCGTCCAAGCGCTGCCGCTTCCTGCAACGGGAATGGGCGCTGCGGGGCGGGGCGGGGGTCTCTCGGAGGAGCAGCGGGGCAGGAGGTGCTCTCACCTGTATCTCCACACCAACACTGCGGCGACGGCGGCCGCAGCCAGCAGCAGGACCGCCCCGAGCCCAGCGCTCAGCCCCCGCTTGGAGTGCTCTGAGGAACACAGCCAGTCAGCTCTCTTGCTCCTCGTGCCGAGGGAACAGGGCTCGGGAGCCGCATCCCCGAGGGGGACAACCTACCCCAGGGGACGAGGAGGCTGCGGTCACCCAGGCTGCAGTGCTGCACGCGGCAGGCGTAGCTGTGCCCGTCCCGGGGGGACACCAGCAGGGTGCTGCGGAGCTGGTAGGTGAGGTCGGCGTTGGGTAACACAGCGCCGGTGCTCAGCGCCGGGCTCGGGGGCACCTCTCTGCCGTCCCGCAGCCAGGTGACGGTGATGGGCCGCGGGTAGAAGCTGGTGACACGGCAAACCAGCAGGAGCTGCGCTGGGCCGGCCGTGCGGGCAAAGACCACAGCGATGGGTGGCACTGGGGGATGGAAACGAGGGGATTGCAGTGCGGCACGGCTCAGCCCCCACGTCTGGGGCGGATGTGGCAGCACCAGGATCAGCTCACCTTGTCTCTCCAGATCTGCTTTCCCAGCCTGGATGAAAATTCTCAGAATGTCCACACAGGTGTTGTTGAGGAGCACTTGGATCACCTCATTGAGAGTGCTGGCGTTCATCATCAGGTGCTCAGCTATGGCTGCCAACTGGTTATGTTGCATCTGATCCCAAGTGCCTTTGTCCAGGCAGAAACGGAGGAAATTCTGGCCCTCGTAAGCAATGTCTAAGAAGGTCCTGATGGTCCCGTTGGACTGGAGCTCACAGCCTATGGAGGACTGGAAGACAAAAGGGTCTGGGGGCAAGGGATATTGTGGTAGAGTTGGTATGTGGGATACTCAGCTCTGTGGCCACTTTGGGTCTCACTGAGTGTTGCCCCATGCCCAAAAACTCTGGTTCTCGTATCCAGTGTCAAAAAAAGGTCCTGGTGGTCCAAAGCTCAGTCAAGTGAATGTTTGTGTCCTGCAGCCACAGGCAGGACAAGGACATATTGTCCCAGCACTGTCACCTCCCGAGAACACCATTCTCTCGGTGCCCTGGGGAAAATGTATGAGTCCCCAAGGGGCTGCTGGGCTCTGGGGAATGGATCCAGTGCTGCACCAATGTCTCTTTGCACCCCATCCCCCTCCAAGCACAACCTATTCCTTCTGGGATGTTCCCTGCCATGGTGGTGACACGGGGACAGCCCATGCAGGGATGCTGGGGCTTAGCCCTAGCACCCAGTGACACTGAGTCAGCCCCCGGGGAATGAGCACTGCACATCACTTCCCTTCTCTGGAACCACTCTACAGAGAAGTGGTGACGCTGAAGTGTCCCCAAGGGCCCAAATCTGGCACCTGTGGTCTGATTTCCTGCACAGCCCATCGAGGAGATGTCCAGCCCTGTAACTGTGATGTCTCTGTCCCTCCTGTCAGGGCTAGTGTCTGGAAGGACAGTAGAGAGCAGCCGGTGGGCTGGCAAGGATTGGCTGTAGTGTGGCTGCTGAGAGTACCCACTGTTCCCTCAGGTGACTGTAGGTCCCCAGTCTGCCCAGCAGATATGCACTGTTTATCATAGCCTGCCACAGTGTGATCACTGTTCCTTACTATACTGAAGCTTGATCTGTCCCAGAGGGGACTTCGGAAATGGGGTGGGGAAGGGACACGTACAGGGCACTGTGGTGTACATCTGTACCAGCTTGCTGAAATCTCTCACGTATGACTTGATGGAGCTCTCGATGACATCCCAGTCACCTTTCGGCAAGGATGGGCGCAGCCAGGGCCGGTAGTAGTGGATGTTCCCAGTGCGGCTGTCCAGAGACCCCATTTCCACGTCCCCCAAGAGTCCCAGTCCTCCCACAAGCACGGAGGTGCTGTTTTGGAAGGTGGCGAAATGGAGAAGCTTGAGCATGTGGGAGCCTGCAGGAGATGGGAAGAGAGCTGGGGGAAGTGTCCCCAGTTTTGTCATTGCTGATGGCTCCTTGGGGCCCCCCATTGCTCACCATCACCTCAGCTTCATTTACCCCCCAGCTTGACCACAGCCCCATAAGGGAGGATTTGTGAGATGAGAAGAAAGGGTTAGGGTAAGCCATGGTTAAAACTTACCCTCTGGCTCTGCCCAGGTCCCAGGGAAGAAGAACAGAAGGAGGATGGCATGGGGCTGCATGGTGTCTGCAGTGCAGCTCCTCACAGATGCAGCAGGATGATGAAGGGACTGCTCACTTCTCAAGGCAGCTCTCGCCTTGCTGGTGGCACTGGGTGGCCACAGCAGCCAATAGGTTCTGTGCTGAGGTTTTGGGGAGGTCCCTGAGGTGCCCTCTGCAGGGAGCTGGGCTGAGGTATTCAGGCTATGGGTCTGGAAGGATTCTTTCTGGCCCATGGCTGAACCGAAGAAACCTCAAGGGTTACCACATAGGGATGGCACAAGTGGTCTCCTCCTCTTGTAAGTCTGTCCCAGGAGCAATCCTGCCTGAGGTGACTTTGAGGTCAGTCTCCAGTGGGAGACCTCCAAAGACCAAGAGTCACTTGAAAGGAGCATGGGACCAGGAGACGCATCAGAATGGACTGCAGGGACAAGGAACATGAGGAGGCACACTGAGACCAGCCCACCAGCAGCACTCCACTGTCCTTCAGACACTAATGGCCCTGCTGAGAGAGACAGGGACATCACAATTTCAGATCTTAACATTACCTTTGTAATAATAACGTCATCAGACTTAGATGGTTAAGTTAGTCTAGTTTGATTTTTGCAAAACGCTGTTAATCGCCTTGCATATTCCCCATTACTATAAACAGAACCACCACATACATTTTTACAATTCAAAAACAATTCAAGTTTTACTTTTTGGCGTTTTTAAATTTTTTTTTTTTAATGCAAGAAAGGCATTTACTAAAAAAATAAACCCGAAACATTAAAAATATCAACAAGATAGTGTCTGAGAGAACAGTAAGGTGGCCCTGTGCTCGCTGCTAACCTACTCTATCATTAGATGAGCCACATAGTGAGATTTTACTGCATCAACTAAAAAAAAAAAAAAAAAAAAAAAAGCATGACAATATAAATTCGATCATTTCTTACAGATATTCATAAGCAGTTAACACAGGTTTCTTGAGTTTGGAGAATTGTTCCTTCTTTTTCTTTTTTTCTTCTTTTTTTTCTTCTTTTCTTCTTCTTCTTCTTTTTCTTACTCATTTGTTCTTCATTTCTACCCAATCCCCCCGTTTAACTTTGTGTTCGTCACTTGAAACCAGAATGGAGAAGCCCTTTCCGCGGTCTCTACTGCCACCGCGTGGCCAAAGTGAGGAACTGCACCGCGCTGTGATGAGGGGCGGAAGCGTTGTTGGCGGCTTTAGGGAGCTGAGAGGGATCAGAGGAGCTCCTGGAGCGCAATGTGCGCGCTGGCCACCTCAGACTCTCCTCCTTCCCCCGCTGATCTGTAGTGATCGGTGGTGCCCCGCGGAGCACCAGATTTTAGGAAACCAAATACTAAAGTATTTACATGATGGCCTTTAAACGTAAAACAAGTGAAATATCGATAAAAGAGCATGCGTAGTGTAGCGCCAAAGCTGGCACATGCGTATTAGTCTATCGAAACTGGCGCATGCGCCCTGTTGAGCCAAAACAGCCGCATGCGTACAACTGTACTAAAACTGACGCATGCGCACTGTTGTTCTAAAACAGGCGCATGCGTGTTGTAGAGCTAAAACTGGCGCATGCGTAATGCTGTGCTAGAACACACGCATGCGCACTGTAGGGCAAAGACTTGCGCATGCGTGTTCTGGAGCTAAAACTGGCGCATGCGTACTGCTGTGCTTAAACTGGCGCATGCGCTCAGCTGTGCTAAAACTAGCGCATGCGCACTGCTCAGTTAAAACTGGCGCATGCGCACTAGCGTGCTAGAAGTAGCGCATGCGTACTGCTCAGCTAAAACTAGCGCATGCGTACTGCTTTGCTATATCTGGCGCAAGCGCAGTGTTCTAAAACTGGCGCATGCGTGTTGTAGCGATAAAACTGGCGCATGCGCACAGATTTGCTAAAACTAGCGCATGCGCAAAGCTCTGTTAAAACTGGCGCATGCGTGATGTAGCGCATAAACTAGCGCATGCGCACTGTTGTTCTAAAACCGGCGCATGCGTGTTGTAGAGCTAAAACTGGCACATGCGTACGGTTTGCTAAATCTGGCGCATGCGTACTGCTGTGCTAAATCTGCCGCATGCGTGTTGTAGAGCAAAAACTAGCGCATGCGTATTGTAGCGTTAAAACTGGCGCATGCGTACTGCTCCGCTAAAACTGGCGCATGCGCCTTGTAGCGCTAAAAACCGGCGCATGCGTAGTGCTTTCCTAAAACTGGCGCATGCGCACTGTTGTGCTAAAACAGGCACATGCGCACAGCTGTGCTAAAAGTGGCGCATGCGTGTTGTAGCGCTAAAACTGGCGCATGCGTGTTGTAGAGCTAAAACTAGCGCATGCGTGTTGTAGAGCTAAACCTGGCGCGTGCGTACTGCTGTGCTTAAACTGGCGCATGCGCACAGCTGTGCTAAAACTGGCGCATGCGCACTGCTCAGCTAAAACTGGCGCATGCGTACTGCTCTGATAAACTTGCGCATGCGCACAGTTGTGATAAAACTGGCGCATGCGCACAGCTGTGCTAAAACTGGCGCATGCGTACTGCTCTGATAAAACTGGCGCATGCGCACAGCGTTACTAAAACTAGCGCATGCGTACTGCTCCGCTAAAACTGGCGCATGCGCCTTGAAGAGCTAAAACTGGCGCATGCGTAGTGCTCCGCTAAAACTGACGCATGCGTAGTGGTCCGCTAAAACTGGCGCATGCGTGTTGTAGAGCTAAACCTGGCGCGTGCGTACTGCTGTGCTTAAACTGGCGCATGCGCTCAGCTGTGCTAAAACTAGCGCCTGCGCACTGCTCAGTTAGAACTGGCGCATGCGCACTAGCGTGCTAGAACTAGCGCATGCGTACTGCTCAGATAAACTAGCGCATGCGTACTGCTTTGCTAAAACTGGCGCATGCGCACTGTTGTGCTAAAACTGGCGCGTGCGTGTTGTAGCGCTAAAACTGGCGCATGCGCACAGATTTGCTAAAACTAGCGCATGCGCACAGCTCTGTTAAAACTGGCGCATGCGTGATGTAGCGCATAAACTAGCGCATGCGCACTGTTGTTCTAAAACCGGCGCATGCGTGTTGTAGAGCTAAAACGGGCACATGCGTACGGTTTGCTAAATCTGGCGCATGCGTACTGCTGTGCTAAAACTGGCGCACGCGTGTTATAGCGCTAAAACTGTCGCATGCGTGCTGTAGAGCAAAAACTAGCGCATGCGTATTGTAGCGCTAAAACTGGCGCATGCGTACTGCTCCGCTAAAACTGGCGCATGCGCCTTGTAGCGCTAAAACCGGCGCATGCGTACTGCTCTGCTAAAACTGGCGCATGCGCACTGTTGTGCTAAAACAGGCACATGCGCACAGCTGTGCTAAAAGTGGCGCATGCGTGTTGTAGCGCTAAAACTAGCGCATGCGTGTTGTAGAGCTAAACCTGGCGCGTGCGTACTGCTGTGCTTAAACTGGCGCATGCGCACAGCTGTGCTAAAACTGGCGCATGCGCACTGCTCAGCTAAAACTGGCGCATGCGTACTGCTCTGATAAACTAGCGCACGCGCACAGTTGTGCTAAAACTGGCGCATGCGCACAGCTGTGCTAAAACTAGCGCATGCGTACTGCTCTGATAAAACTGGCGCATGCGCACAGCGGTGCTAAAACTAGCGCATGCGTACTGTCTGGCGCATGCGCTCTGGCGTGCTAGAACTAGCGCATGCGTACTGCTGTGCTAAAACTGGCGCATGCGTACTGCTTTGCTAAATCTGGCGCATGCGCACAGCTGTGCTAAAACTGGCAGATGCGTGTAGTAGCGCTAAAACTGGCGTATGCGTTCTGTTGTTCTAAAACTGGCGCATGCGTGTTGAAGTGCTAAAACAAGCGCATGCGTGTTGTAGCGTTAAAACTGGCGCATGCGAACTGCTCGGCTAAAACTGGAGCATGAACACAGCGGGGCTAAAACTAGCGCATGTGTACTGCTCCGCTAAAACTGGCGCATGCGCACAGCGGTGCTAAAACTGGCGCATGCGTGTTGTAGACCTAAAACCAGCGTATGCGCACTGTTGTGCTAAAACTAGCACATGCGTGTTGTAGCGCTAAAAGTGGCGCATGCACACTGTTGTGATAAAACTGGCGCATGCTTGTTGTAGAGCCAATACTGGCGCATGCGTGCTCTTTGTTTAAACTGCCGCATTACTACTGCTGTGCCAAATCTGGCGCATGCGTACAGCTGTGCTAAAACTGGTGCATGCTTGATGTAGCCCTAAAAGTGGCGCATGAGCACTGGTGTTCTAAAACTGGCGCATGCGTGTTGTAGAGCTAAAACTGGCGCATGCGTACTGCTCTGCTAAAACTGCCGCATGCGCGCTGCAGAGATAAAACTGGCGCATGCGTACTGCTGTGCTAAAACTAGCGCATGCGCACAGCTGTGCTAAAACTAGCGCATGCACACAGCTTTGCTAAATCTGGCGCATGCGCACTGTTGTGCTAAAACAGGTGCATGCGTGATGTAGCCCTAAAAGTGGCGCATGCACACTGGTGTTCTGAAACTGGCGCATGCGTGTTGTAGAGCTAAAACTGGCGCATGCGTACTGCTCTGCTAAAACTGGCGCATGCGCCTTGTAGAGCTAAAACTGGCGCATGCGTACTGCTCCGCTAAAACTAGCGCATGCGCACAGCTGTGCTAAAACTGGCGCATGCGTTTTGTAGAGCTCAAACTAGCGCATGCGTGTTGTAGAGCTAAACCTGGCGCATGTGTACTGCTGTGCTTAAACTGGCGCATGCGCGCAGCTGTGCTAAAACTAGCGCATGCGTACTGCTCGGCTAAAACCAGCGCATGTGTACTGCTCTGCTAAAACTGGCGCATGCGCACAGTGGTGCTAAAACTGGCGCATGCGTTTTGTAGAGCTCAAACTAGCGCATGCGTGTCGTAGAGCTAAACCTGGCGCATGCGTACTGCTCTGCTAAAACTGGCGCATGCGCACAGCGGTGCTAAAACTAGCGCATGCGTACTGCTCCGCTAAAGCTGCTGCATGCGTACTGCTTTGCTAAAACTGGCGCATGCGCACAGCTGTGCTAAAACTGGCGCTTGCGTGTAGTAGCGCTAAAACAGGCGCATGCGTTCTGCTCTGCTAAAAATGGCGCATGCGTACTGCTGTGCTAAAACTGGCGCATGCGTTTTGTAGCTCTAAAAGTGGCGCATGTGCATTGCTGTGCTAAAACTAGCGCATGTGCACTGTTGTGCTAAAACTAGCGCATGGGCACAGCGGTGCTATAAACTGGCGAATGCGTGTTGTAGAGTTAAAATTGGCGCATGCGTGTTGTAGCTCTAAAAGTGGCGCATGCTTACTGCTATGCTAAAACTGGTGCATGCGCACAGCGGTGCTAAAACTAGTGCATGCGTACTGCTCCGCTAAAACTAGTGCATGCGTACTGCTCTGCTAAAACTGGCGCATGCGCGCAGCGGTGCTAAAACTAGTGCATGCGTTCTGCTCCTCTAAAAGTGGCGCATGCGCACAGCGGTGCTAAAACTTGCGCATACGTGTAGTAGCGCTAAAACTAGCGCATGCTTGTTGTAGCTCTAAAACAGGCGCATGCGCACTGTTGTGCTAAAACTGGCGCATGCGTTCTGCTCTGCTAAAACTGGCGCATGCACACTGCTGTGCTAAAAATGGCGCATGCATGTTGTAGCTCTAAAACTGGCGCATGCGTGTTGAAGCGCTAAAACTGGTGCATGCGCACAGCTTTGTTAAAACCAGCGCATGCGCACTGTTGTGCTAAAACTGGCGCATGCGTTCTGCTCTGCTAAAACTGGCGCATGCGTACTGCTGTGCTAAAACTGGCGCATGCGTGTTGTAGCGCTAAAACTGGTGCATGCGCACAGCTCCGTTAAACTAGCGCATGCGCACTGTTGTGCTAAAACTGGCGCGTGCGTGTTGTAGAGCTAAAACTGGCACATGCGCACAGCTTTGCTAAAACAGGTGCATGCTCACAGCGTTGCTAAAACTGGCGCATGCGTGTTGTAGAGCTAAAAGTGGCGCATGCGCACTGGTGTTCTGAAAGTGGCGCATGCGTGTTGTAGAGCTAAAACTGGCGCATGCGTACTGCTCAGCTAAAACTGCCGCATGCGCGTTGTAAAGCCAAAACTGGCGCATGCGTTCTGCTCCGCTAAAACTAGCGCATGCGCACAGCTGTGCAAAAACTAGCGCATGCACACAGCTTTGCTAAATCTGGCGCATGCACACAGCATTGCGAAATCTGGCGCATGAGCACAGCTGTGCTAAAACTGGCGCATGCGTGATGCAGCCCTAAAAGTGGCGCATGCGCACTGGTGTTCTAAAACTGGCGCATGCGTGTTGTAGAGCTAAAACTGGCGCATGCGTACTGCTCCGCTAAAACTAGTATATGCGCACAGCTGTGCTAAAACTTGCGCATGCGTACAGCTTTGCTAAATCTGGCGCATGCGCACAGCTGTGCTAAAACTGGTGCATGCGTGATGTAGCCCTAAAAGTGGCGCATGCACACTGGTGTTCTGAAACTGGCGCATGCATGTTGTAGAGCTAAAACTGGCGCATGCGTAATGCTCTGCTAAAACTGGCGCATGCGCCTTGTAGA